TAAATTCATATGGTACAATATAATCATATAAGGTTTTTATGGATACGAGTACGACGTGGCGCACCCGCTGATGCCGTTATGCTGGAAACTCTTCTTCTCGGACAATCTGTTCGGGCCAGTGGCCTACAACTATATCCGGAATAATGAACTGGACATTTTCTGGGTCGACAATTTATCTAGAAAATCATGCCCTGCCGTAGCATTCCCCTTCGCACTTATGAACCACGCCTTGTCAGGTTAACATTGAATCGCAACGATCACAAACGTCTTTTGCGAGCATGGCATGGCCTCGTCCAGGCTCCATAAGTGTTTATTCAGTACTTGGAGTGACGATAGTCGCGTCTGGGATCCTTTCTTACTACGTTAGACGCGCGTTGAAGCGTCATGAACAGTTTCTTCAACGAGGCACAAGAACAATAGTAAACTGCCAGCCTCCCAACCGCAGACTAGAGTATATCTTTCATATGCTCCAATATCTTGATTTAACACTGACTGTCTTCAGCGTCGTCGCAGTGCATGGGTTAGGCGCGCACCCTGAATTTACTTGGACGACGAGAGGACCAAACCAGTCTCGCGTAAACTGGCTAACGGACTTTTTCCCACGAGACTTCAGCAAAGCACGGGTCATGACATTTGGCCATAACTCTGACTGGTTTGTCCGGGCGAGCAACAACACACCGTTTGAAAATGCCAAAATACTTTTACGAGCAGTAAACGAGGAAAGGCGTGAACACCACAAGGTCAGCCTTCAAATAATCGAGATAACCATAGGGAACACCTGAAAAGTAACCCTTTGGCTTATACCGCAGTGTCCCATCATTTTCATCGGCCATAGCTTTGGTGGCATTATTATCAAAGAGGTAAGATCAACATGCTCTGTCTTAAGTGACCTGACTGATCTGGTTCATCAAGGCAATATGCTTGGCGGAAACAGATAAACAGTATAGGGACATATTGGATGATACAATCGGTATCATCTTTCTTGGAACGCCCCATCAAGGGTCCAATGTTTCGCAGTTTGGAGCCTTCATAGCACACTTGACATGGGTATTCGGATCAAGCACAATACTACTGAAAGGTCTCTACACGGATAACCCTCATCTATCCGACTTGCAAGAACGTTTCATGAGCGTTATCAGGAGAAGAAAAGACATTAAGCTCGTCACGATGTATGAGAAGCACCATACGCACTTTGCTCAACTTATTTATCTAGGCTTTGTGAGTACGATCACTACACGCTCTACATACCACGAATACTTACAAAGAATGAAAAAGATTGTCGAGAGGAATGCTGCAGTGCTTGATATGGCCGAAAACATTGCAGTTGAGAAAGATCATATGGGGCTGAACAAATGTGCCTCACCAGATGATCCGGCATATGACGCAATTTGTCAAGGCATCAATAAAATACGGGACCATGCAGAGAGCAGAGGCTGGAAGAAAAAATATTTAAACTGGTCCGAGAGGTCAAGGCTCTAGCTTACGAGTTGTGAGGGACCACAATTGCTGTGGTACTGCTGCAAGAGTAGACCTCGGCATGCTTCGACTCAGGTTCCACAGATCAGAACTCACAACTCGAATCCGAGTCAGATCGTGATTCAATCCTGTTCGAGTCATGCTTAAACCTAACAGTATCTGGGTTGCGTCATTCTACCACGATGTTGTGTATTTTGATGGTACGGCACCCACCTCAATCATTAAGATGGCGGCTGCGCGAGACAATATCCTCAGACAGGGACCTCACAGGAAAAGGGCCTGCTTCTGATCCCATGTTCAATAAACGCCAAATCGGACTTGATATCCTATTTTGGCAACTTTTTGCCAATTGCGATGTTCTTATGCCATTATTTAACCTATTATCATAGTCATTAGGAGTCGCCCCAGATTTCTAGGCCATGAGAGAACGCAATCAAGTTATCAACTGTGCGAGCTCAGTAGATTGTAGTGCGCGAATCGCTCCCGTTTGAATTGCAATGTCGCCAGAAGATTATTGATGAATTGGATGAACCCAAGAATTGCAATTAGCAGAAGTATAATGAGCGGGCCAATGATTGAAAAGACGGTAAATCCATACGAAGCATTTTGAAATGCAACATTGCCCCCCAGCTTTGTAGCCAGCCCAACCTGCATTGCTGTCAACGCTAATGCGACATAAACAATTGTTGCAGTAAGGGGTGTTAGATAATCATAGAACAACTCAGTATATGTTTGATATGTGAAGTGATAACCTCGTAGGATACTGCCATAACGAAACATGTATATTTTGTTGAGTCTTGAAAGCCTAAGCTCGCCGAACAAGTAACGTGCATTGACATATTCAGGATTAGTAGCTCCGTTCTCCAAGAGCTCCTTGACCAATTTAACCCACATTTCCCAAGTCACGTCGTGTGGTAATAGGTGTTGGTCCTGGGCAATAGCAAAATCACTCTCTCGCTCAATTAGAGAAATATAAGAATACAAAAGTCCTAGGCCACATTTGTATAGGTGTTTTTGCTGACAAACCCCGTCCCCCCTTTTTGTCTGACAGTAAATATAGTTGGACATGCAGGGACAGGGTTCTTTGCAGATCAGGTAAGTTTTCCAAAATTGATGGCTTAGGAGGTATCGCGGGAGCGGCTTCAGATGGATACGCCGTGAAGGTTCCCAGACCATGTGCATGTCAATCCTTTCATCTGGCACAATTTGCCGAGAAGTTGCGGTTTGATAGTTTAGGGGTCTGGGTGGCATAGGTCGGCCAGCCAACCACAGATATTTGTGAATACGGTTAAGACATTCGACAGAGAGATCGTTCTGTAAAAAGCGGGAAGTATCCGTAGTAGGACTGTAGGGGGTATAATACTCGTCGCGAATTGCAGCAGGAGTGTAGAAAGTACTTGGAATAGAGACGTCAACGCTGAATGGTGGCTTTGTGGACATGCTTATACAAGAGACGGTAGTGAACCGAGTTGATATTAGGTCTTAAGTCGATAGATTGGAGAGTGACAGAACCACAGCTAGGGACAGGCCTAGGTACATATATGTTGCTTAGCTACCTTGAAAAGCTAAGATTGGAGGCTTGATCTGTTTCTCACTTAAACAGAGCCACTCCGAGGAGCGTCATCATCCGGGGTTGGCTGGAATCTTCGAGACCGGCCGAGAGTCTGGCGTTGGAAGAGTTAATGCACTATTACTAAGTTTTCGAGTGGACCAAGGGAATGATCGGCGACCCAAGGTTTACGTTTGTCATCTGCTCTTACCATGTATATCTTTCTGTATCCATTATCAATTAGTCTATAATTACCACTCTGTTAAATCTTCAAATCATCTAATCCTCTTGATTCATAATTAGTCCAAAAGGGTTATATTGACTGTTCAATTTGACTAAACGGAGTATTATATACTACGGTATAGGAAGGGTCTCCATTACAGCTAGATATGATTAAACAATATATAATGTGGGAATATAAATGTTTAAGCTCCATCCAAGCATATAAGCCAGCTCTACACTGTAACTGACACATACGACCATAGGGTGTGGAAAATAGGGCTTCCCGTCCGCTCAGCCGTACTCAAGCCACACGCCGGGAGGTTAGTAGTTGGGTGGGTGACCACCAGCGAATCCCTTCTGTTGTATGTTTTTGGGTTTATTTTTGTCGACGATAGTTAAATTTCTAAATAGTTATCATATTACGGGAGAATAAAGATCTGCATCACGTTGCATATACATCACACGAAAATCGGATAGGAAGAAGCGATCACCTAGTTGGGCAGCTGGCGACGAGTTAAAGCTAGGCGATAGCTGAGTCCAAATAGCACACTTCAGTATGATGTGTAGTTTTCTTCTGTTTTCAGTTGAGCCCATGAACTATACGTACCTTTTTCATCATACTTCCACCGCTTTCCACTCCAGTCAACATCTGGCCACTAACGGTAGATCACCGCATTGCCAGTAAGCAGACAACATATCTTAGGAACAATCTTGGTAATACCAATGAATAAATATTATTCTCAACTTGCAGCTTACGCCCATAGAATGACCCATTATGCGGCAGTCAGCACTTGCTACACCTTCCTCTCGACATCAACAGGGTGAGATTAAAATGGCATAATGTATAACATCGGTATTCAAAACCAAAGAAGCTTCTTACTATTAAAGCCAATTGTATCTTCACCTTGGCCCTCCAAGAAACTTGGTCAATAGTTCTCACTAAGCAGACCATGAACAATGGTTTGGGACTAATAGCCGCAGCAACCGGCTGAACAATCCAAATATGATCTTCTTTCCGCCATTATCTCTATTATGAAGTTCCTGGACATTTGAGAAAACGGTCAGACTTCCATTGAGAAGTTGAGAATTTCTTCGTGAGTAAGTTCCCGTCATTGGAGCACCTTTTTCAGTCTGTAGCAGATAGCCGAAAGAAACAGAGGTCACCCAGTATGACCTACTTTTAAAAGTATGAATATTCAACCCAAGTTGGCACTTTCCTAATGCTAAGGCTTTGCAAACCAGGCAATCTCTCAAACATAATCCGCTATCCGACAGGAAATTTCCAGGCATAATTCAGGTTTACCTGCCTGTAGTGAGACGAATGTTGCGGAAACTGCCACATCAAATTGATATATTGCCAAACAAGTGCTACCTACATAACATATTAGAAGACGATACCATCACTGGAAAAGATATAAGAAGCCCCTCTTCACCCTGCACTTTGGGAATTAGAACAGATCGTTCACTCTCATCTTTCTCAACGACTACGGCCAAACGATCCTCTCATCCACCATTCCAACAACGCCCAAGACGTACACCCATCACCATGCCTCTGATTGTCCCCGAAATCAATTATGTCCCCAGCACCCTCCTGCACTCGACCAGCCACCTCAAAATCGAGTACCTGGAGCTATGCGGAACTAAGCCCGAAGCAACGCCAGATTAAATTGGCGGCACCAACCTCCAGCTCCTCACCAACATCTGGTCACTCAAAATCCAAACCAAAAATGACCCGGACACTAACACTGGCGCTATGAGTCTCATCCTTGACCTCTCGCCCCTCCGAAACAGCATTCCCTGCCGCATGCATATCACAATCACTGACGAGCCCCACGGCCCCGCTTATGCTGACGAAGACAATATCGTGAAGCGCGTGCGCCTCCATGAAGTGGAATATACTGTCGGGGGTCTTTGTGATCTGATCGTTGCTAATGACCTTGATAGATGTAACTATGCCAGTGATCGTTTTTATCAGCAGAACAGGCATTGGTTCAAGGTGCTTATTGAGGAACTTGGGCGAAATCAGAACATTCCAGAACAGGAAGTGAGGGATGCTCAAAATGCTGTGAGCTTTGTTTGGAAGGGACCGGGGACTGGCATTGACGATCGTGTGAATATTGCAGTCGGGTCTACCGTGTTGAGGTGCACTATTGATCGTCGTGTGAGACACGACCTTGGTTTCTGATAGTATGAATGGGGATGATTTGGGAGGGGAATGTGTGGTTTGCGTGTGTGCTTCAGAGTGGTTTTGGTTTTTAGGCTAGGGTACTAAATTGTTATAATGCCTAGGAATCAAATTCTTGGATTATGAATTGTGCAATAACGTACAGTCATACATACTGCTTCGGAAGTTAATCTCTGTAATATCATCAATTAAACTAGTAACGAGTAGTGTGCTAGGTATGTGTATATCCTGATCACATGCCTGATGGGCTGTACTTCAACACATGTCATTTCTCACTACTCCAAACTTGAACTTGAATAAATGCAATAGCTAATTCCAAAGGTATATTTGATTTTTCAAATTTTTATTGAAAATCTGCTAATTATTTACCGTGGATTTATAAGATAAACATATAGTTTATTAGCAACGAATAATAATAAAATTATACCAAATGACTGATCAGTAAGTCAGGAAACTTGCACGGTCGGAATCTTTATATATAAGATATCTTGATTACTATATGAGATGTGAGGTACTAAGCCAAAACAATCATGATTACTATGACTATATGTAAACATTATCTCTTCTTCATCCCATCAACCCTTAAAGTCAACGGCTCGCCCTCCCTGCCCCATGATACCAGCGTACTCTTTGAGACCTTTTCCATCTCAGCTTCCTTAAGTGTCTGCAGGTCCGGATGCTCAGGTCCCTGCGCCACCCGACAAGCTAACAGCGCCAGCGCTGATGACTTCCACATCCCCACTCCTTTAGCCCTCGCAGTATGAGCGACAATCAATATCAAAAACAAGATCGACAAGATCGTGATCACGATCGGAGCCGCAGCCCAATACCAGCGCACAGATATATACGTCTGCGTGGTAAATGCCTCCCCTGTGATCGTGGTGCTATTCGGCCCACCGCGAATTCCCTTCGTAATGCCGACGGCAACGTTCTTCATAACGGGGCTGGCGTCTTTCCCCTCCTGCACGGAATACGTCCATCCAGCTTCAATTTGGTCAGAGAGGGATATGGTAGATGTGAAAGAATTGAGGATTTGGAGCACGGTATTTCCTGAGATGGTATAGTTACCATTGGTTGCGAAGTTTGGGGTTGAGCTATTCACTGGAGCCAGCTCGTTGGGGTAGAACATTTGGAAATACTTGTTTTTCGTAAAGAGCTGCTCCGTCTCAGATGCTTCGAGTGATTGGTAATCAGAGGTGTAACTGTTGTTGGTGTATCTCTGGGCGCAGAAATACAGGGCGCATTCAGTGATTTGTGGTTTTGGTTCCAAGGCAGTGTGGTTTTCGGCGGTATAAATTATGTTCGGATTGTCGTATATCGCCGCTGCCAGGCCAACTATCGGGTTCAAGATTCCAGCAACCCGGGGTCCTTGGGAACTGCTGAGATTTAGGCGATCTGTGTCCGTATTGGCGAATGTCCAGGTTTCCTTCTCGAGATCAACTGCGGCTTCAGATCCAATGTCTACCGTGGCCGCTTCAAAGATGTCTGGCGTTATCTGTAAGTCTCCCGGCGTGGTATATGTGCAGTTTGGTTTGGCCCCTTGATAAGCCGTGCCATTGAAAAAGCTCGCGTACGAGCTATTTGAGGAGAGAGACGTCCAACTCTGCACCGATTGCAAGGTAACATCCTGGCATTTGCTGCATGCCCCCAGAGTGTCAAAAGTGGGAAACTTGCACGAGCCTGTACTGCAGGTCGGCTCCCGGGTATTGTCTGACACATAGATGCTTTGGAGGATAAGCAGACTCATAGTATTATCGCTGTTTGCGTTGCCGGGTACGTAGGCCTGGGCAGTTTGTAGGGAAGCCGTCTCATTTAAAGCGGGAACAATACGAGAAGGAAAGGTGAGAATCTGCTGGGTCAAGGGATCGAGTGCGGCCGATAGAATCAAGGTAACTGCGCCGAGAGTAGCCAGGCTGGGGCGGTTGGTGGTGATCAGTTGCAAAGAACCCCAGATTCCTTGGCTGGCCTGATCAAGAGCGTATAGATCGTATAGCCGTCTTTGGCTGCGATAATGATTCCATTTGAGTTGACTGAGACAAACTCCGACCGGGAATAGCAGTGTAGCTCTATTGGCGGTTGCTATCACCGCGACCACTGCGTTTGGAGAGACTCTGTATGCCCAGTCGGCATAGGGCATCCCATCCAGGTGGTTTAGCAGCACGATTAGGATGACCACACATGCAACGCTCAATACGGATGCACCAATTTCCCATCCCCAGGATAACAAGCCGATAGGGGCTTTGCTCTTCTTCATAGCCGACCCATGAATCTCTGGGGGACCCTCAACTTCACGAAGCAAATATTTCTTGGACGACCCATAGTCGGTGATTGGGTTTCTCTGGCCAGGATATGTTTCTCTTGAGTCGGAGCGGGAATGTTCGCGATCGGATTCTGGTCCACGAAAGCAGCGCTCCAGAGACCCGTTAGATTCTTCCGATGGACGAACTGGACTTGGAGGGCGGGAGGCCATGATCGAGCCCAATTTTCCTTTGTCTTCTCAGACTACAGGATGGGGTCGTTGTTGTACCTCCATAATAATCTGCGGGGAGTGAGAGTACTATATGGGACAGCCTTGCAGAGCCCTCCTTAGCCGGGGGGCTTAGCGCTTATTTCCCTGCCACGCACTAGTCGATCCCTCAACACTGTCAGCAAATGAACAGCTACAGTGCTTCAGACCCTCTTGAAGGATCTTATCATCTTATATGAGCCACTTTCTTAAGTGTCTTGGCTCTCATCTTACTTGGACTTTCCCTCCTTTTTGGGAAGTCAATCTCACTCACCGTACATCTTTCGTCCAGCTGGCACAGCCCGGTTGCTTGACTAGCCTAGGGAGTTAAATTGAAAGAAAGCAAAATTGGGAAATATGAGGCTCAGAGAGCTTCTAATCGATCCCTTCGAATTTCCTCCTGTCCGATGTGATGCCGGTACTATTTTCCGTGTCTACATCACGTGTAGTAGGCGTTGTTGATCTCGAACCCTACGATCGAACTTACAGGTTCTTTTTTTCAGCAACCATACTAATCTCTGATGCAGCCAGTGAAGACTAGAAGCAAAGTAACGCTCTGAATGCGCGCAGATTTTGCTATTACGATATAAAAAGGTAACCAAAAATAAAACAGAGTATTGACATTGCATGGTCAAAATGGAAGTCAAAGTCAGAACAGCACAAAATACAGTTTTTGCCCTTATTCTCGTGGTCAATCTACCATCTGTAAGGCTTTGTGCCTTATTGTTTGTCGTAACCGTTCTCTACCATGATGAATTCTTCTGCGTCCGAGTTTTCCTGCGTTCGCGGTAATCTTTCGGTCAGGCGAGATGCAAGGGGCCAGATTCCCGAGGAATGCGCTCCTTGTGAGAGCCAGTGCTATGGAATCTTGGGCTTAGATGTCTCACGAATCTACTCTAAGACATATCGTATCTTGGTCCAATATGCTGTGGATCCAGCCAGCCACATAGTTCATACTATATAATCGCGTTGGATCCAAGGTTCTTCACTTTCGAACCTAAGCCTCAGAACCCACATTCAAAATGTACTCGTCCCGTTTCCTCACGGCTGTGGCCCTAGGCTCAGGTACGAGTGCCTCAATAAATCTCAATCACTCCAGAACTAACAATCACGCAGTCCTCGCCACCGCAGATATCGTCACCTACTCCCCTCCAACCGAACCGGGCCTATCCTACAGCATCACCATCCCCACTACCACCACCGCCGCTGGCTCCGGCCCCATCTACCTACAAATATCTGCCCCCACAACTCTACAATGGGTCTCCTTAGGTGAAGGCGCCCAAATGGCCTCGGCGAATCTCTTCATTCTCTGGGCCGCCTCTTCCACGGAAGTCACACTGTCACCGCGTTCCAGCTTGGACGGTGGCAAGAGTGAACCTCAATACAACTCCCTTGCAAATGTTACTCTCCTCGCCGGCTCGGGGATTAACAACGGCGTGATGACCGCCAACATCCGCTGTGATAACTGTCTCTCCGCCTGGCCAACTCCCGCTGCACCTCCGAGCGATCCCAGTTCTGTGTTTACCCTGGACCCTGAGGGGACCTCGACACCTTGGTTCTGGGCTTCTTTTACTGGACCGCCCTTGAACAACCCTGACCCTTCGACCGACCTGGTGATGCATGATGATTTAGGTTCCATGCAACTCGACTTGAGTCAGGCACAGTTCTCTGCCGCGGAGGCTACGACTGATCCATCGTACAATCCCTTCCAATGAGCTTGGCGAGTGAAGCATGATTCAAACTTCTAAGAATTATAGAGTATGCTGGGAAACCTTATCATAAGGATTTCCAACTTTCATGTCAATGTATTCCCACTCAGCGCCAAGAAAAAACAGCGCTATTTAGGTGTCAAGAATGCTTAGCTCCTCTTGCAGCAGCTCCGGCCTTTGAAACTGAAACCATATTGGTGGGGGGTTCATCCAGCTTTTGAATCTTCCGCAGTCGCTTGTTCTGCCCCTACAGATAGGGTAAGTAGTATATAAGCTTCATGACAAATCGATCTGATTATCAGTAGTTGTAGACATTGTAGACTCGCCCTGACACAGGCATACAAACGCATGCATGTCTTTCGCATTACTGTACCTTCCAGTAAGTAGTATACCGTGCCCACATGTCCTTGGTACATATTTTGACTGCTAGTAAAACGTTCAAAGCCTCTATAAGCAGTATGCCTCCCAAAGGGAGCAACTAAAATATATCCAAGATTACGGAGGACCGACGCTGGCATCGCCAATATATCTATCCCAGTATAATAATCATGTGCTTACTGGAGAACTGAAGTCGTCTAATAGGATATTTATAGTCGTCCAGGAATGACTAATATCAACTCATTATCACGCATCAACATGGCAATCCCACTCGACTGACTGATAGGGCAGCTGTAGGCCAATCGGCGTCTGAAACTCGGTGTTTGAAACCGGGGACTAAGCATTTCAGTGGAGCAACTGCGTCTCACGTGACCATCATACAATAGTATATATTGTTCAATAGTTTTTGCCAGAAACCCAGCTTTGCCATAATTCAGATATTATATTGTTTTGAGACTCCAGATTATAACATTTAGACAGACCGCAGATCAGACCAATCCAAGATGCCTCCAATCCCCGACTCCGTGATCCCACGCCCAGCCACAGACGACTACTACAACCTTGGCACATACACTCGACCCATCAGCACTACAAGCCAAGATGCGCAGATCTGGTTTGACCGCGGCCTCATTTGGTGCTACGCCTTCAACCATGCCGAAGGCTACAGATGCTTTGAGCAGGCCATAGCCCACGACCGCAACTGCGCCATTGCCTACTGGGGCCTGGCCTACGCAATGGGGCCTAATTACAATAAGGCCTGGCGTCTGTTCGATTCAGTTGACCTCAAAAAGAGCATGAAGCTATGCCATGAAGCTGCACGAAGGGCTCAAGAGCTATGTCAAGCAGCTTCTGTCACGTCTGTCGAGCGCGCACTCATCGAAGCCATGCAAACTCGCTTCCCCGTTGACCATCCCGCCGAAGACTACGATCAGATCAACCACGCCTACGACGCAGCAATGAAGAAAGTGTATGACCAGTTTCCGACTGATCTCGACGTCATGGCTCTCTATGTAGACGCAAAGATGCATACGGCCCAGCGCAAGATGTTCCACATCAAGACCGGTCTCCCCATCGACACATCTCCCGTCTACGACGTGCAGAAGCTCTTCAAAGATGGCTTGTCCCTTCCCGGCGCAGATACCCATCCGGGTCTGCTTCATTTCTGTATTCATTTCTGGGAAATGTCCGCCACTCCTGCCGTTGCGCTCCCGCCAGCAGACGCTCTACGCCACCTCGTCCCTGACGCAGGACACCTTCATCACATGCCTACTCATCTCGATGTTCTGGTTGGCGACTATCGTCGCTCAGTCGACTCGAATACCGCGGCAGTCCAAGCAGACGAGAAATTCCTCGCCCGCGAAGGTGCGAAAAACATGTATAGCTTCTACCGTCTTCATAATTACCACTCGCTCGTCTACGCGGCCATGCTATCGGGTCAATCCAAAATCGCGCTGAAAGCCGTAGACCAGATGGAAACCTCAATCACAGACGATGTCCTCCGAGTAGACTCCCTACCGCTAGCAGACTGGCTTGAGTTTTTCAAATCAGTACGCGTTCACGTTTACGTCCGCTTCGGACTCTGGGAAGAGCTCAAAGCTCTCTCGATCCCTGAAGATCAGGACCTCTACTGCGTAACCACAGCCATGATGCACTACGGCAAGGCAATTGCGTTAGCAGCTACAAACAACATCCCCAAAGCTCTGAAAGAGCGCATCCTCTACGAAGCGGCCGCTAAACGCGTCCCTGCCAGCCGGAAAGACTACCCGAACCTCATCATTGATATTCTGAAGGTTGCGACGGCCATGCTAGACGGCGAGATTGAGTACCGTCGTGGGAACTTTACGCAGGCGTTTGAGAGCCTCCGGGAGGCAATTCGTCATGACGATGCGCTGATGTATACTGAGCCCTGGGGCTGGATGTTACCTACGCGGCATGCATATGCGGCCTTGTCGTTGGAGCAGGGCCATGTGGAGGAGGCTGCGAAGGCGTATGCGGAGGATTTGGGTCTAGATGCGGAAATTACTCGGGCGCATCAGCATCCGAATAATGTGTGGGCGCTGCATGGGTATCATGAGTGTTTGGTGAGGTTGGGACGTGGAGCAGAGGCGCTTATTATTAAGCAGCAGTTGGATGTTGCTTTGAGTGTGGCTGATGTGGACATTAAGTCTTCGTGCTTTTGTCGGTTGAGTGTGCAGGGGTCGCTGTGTTGTTCATGAGTTTGTTCGGGTGTATATACAAGAGTCTTATAGTGGAAAGATTTGTGTTCGATTGCTTGACTCGTGCAGATAATATGGTCAAGTTGTGTTCTTAGCTAAGACGTTGAATCACAGGTGGCCGCGAATAATATCTATCCCATTGAAGAGAGTCATCAAGAGTCACATATCAGGCGTCTGGGACTCCCCCCAGCATACTTTCATCCAGCCAACATCCTCCTCTGTACATCCTTCTGGTGGCTCCTCTTCTGGATCAGGTCCCCCGCGTTCTGCCAGCTCTTCCTCATCCAATTCTTCTGGTTTCCATTCAGCATTGACTAGACGAACAAATCCTCCATATATATCATTATCTGGCGTACTCAGGATTGAATCCAACGCTTCTTGATCTAACATAATAAAAAAGCGGTATCTACCGTTTTTTAAATGCCATAAGTGCCTGGGATCAATTTCTTGTTCCTGTTCTTCTTTCACTGCAGTCACAGCCCACTTATTAAATTTATCACGTAGTGAGGCCACTGTCATACTCTCAAAGGATCGGTCTTCCACTTCCAAGACTGTTGGAGTAAATCTGGCGAGAAGATCCAGACCATTGTAATACTGAAGATATTTTTCAACACGCTTGTAGAATCGGATCATTAATTTCTCCCAGTCAGAGTCACTTTGATATGTGCATCGATAGATAATAAAGCCCCATGTTTTAAAATTATCTTTATCTAGAAGTCTCTCTAGCTCATCGGCACCGTTCATCCCGCTCTCAATCCCGAGAGTGCGTTTAGAGGGGTCCTGTCGCGAAGCTATTTGTGTTGGGATGAAAGGCGGCGTGATATGTACAAGGCGGGGAGCGGGAGGACGAATAAGAAAGCGCAGGCGAAGAAAGCTTGGTTTGTTGCTGAAGTATGGGCGGCGGCGGAAAACACTTCTTGCAATCATGGATGCGGAATGTCTGGGTGGATGATACAAGGTCGAAAGTGGCCGGGCAGTGGAGCTGAGATAGAAAAAAGGGTTATTCCGTATTTAGCGCTAGACCACGCCGAGCTGTAAGCCCGAGATTACATTCTAACATCATACTTGGTATACCAACCATGTCGACCGAACTAACCATCACCCCCTCCGACATAACCTTCCTCTCAACACTGCAAGAATCCAAGAACTCCGTAGTATTCAAAGTCCTCTACCAAGGAAACCCCTGCGTGCTAAAAGTAGTACGAACTCCCCCTCCAGGCTCCCCTCCCCTACCCCCAAACCCACTGCTATCCCACCCCCTAATAACACCAGTACCACGACCGCGGCCCCTCAGAGCATGACCCCCCAAACCGCGAAGTCAACCTCTTCATCGCCGAATCAACAGCCTACCAGCGCCTACAATCAAAAGGCTTCTGCAGTAGAGGCGTCATCCCCGACTTCTACGGGACTGTCAGGAACATTCAACCGGCTCTGTGGCCGAATCTCAGCATGTTCCTTAATGATAAACTACCACCCAACGCGATTCTCATCGAATATATCCCCAATATGCAGATGATAGGTCCAGAAAACTATTCTGAGCAACGCATGACCAAGTTCCGTCAAATTCGTGATGACATCCACGAGGCGAATGTCTTGCATGGTGATCCGATGCCGAGAAATATGATGGTTTCGGTTTCCGGGGATGAGGAGAGGGTGCTTTGGGTGGATTTTGATTCTGCGCAGACGTTTCCTGAGGATGGGAGTCATTCGGGGCAGAAGGATTGGGTGGAGATGGAAGATGAATTGGTGGATTATTTTATTGTGGCTTTGGTGAGGTTCAGTGTTTTCATATTGTTTGTGTGTATGTGGAGGTTTCATGCTGACTGGGTCGACAGGGTGAGGATTATAGGGATGGGAAGCTGAGTCGGACGGTATCTTATTATGATGATTATTTTCCATTATGATGGTTGAGGTGGGGGAGGAGATTAGATGGATTCAGTATGGATTGCTTGAACCTACTTTTATTCAACTCATTATGCGAACGTCTGATCTTCTTCCACGAATGATGAATATCTTACGTCAAAGTGTAAGTATATATGTTGTGATTCAAGCTAAGCTATTCTATTTTAATTTCCCCTTCCTGTTGGGAAAGAACAGTTCAGACCGTGAACAAGAAAACAATAGTAGAACCCGGCATGACTTCGCAGGAACGCAGATACGGCAAGGAGGGTGAAAGACCACCTAGTACCCCATTTCCTCGCACCGAGCGATTGCCCGATCTATATCATTCAACTCGGGGTTGTCCGTATCATATTCCAGTTTATCTGAGTGCGCTTGGATTTGCTGACTATTCACCAGGATACGTCCGACGACAAGCCTCACGCGCTGCACCTTGGGACAGATTCTTTTATCCTTGAGCAGTTTGAGAACTTTAAGCCAGCCCCCTTCAGGATCATAAACCCGATAGAGGACGAGTATCGTTAGGTGTTTTCCATACAGCTCGAGAAATCGAATGAGGTCTTCAGTGCTGATATCCACATATTCGATCGACAATCTCCAGAGATCCACGCCGTTCACTTCTTTGGGGTCCACCCCGTCAAAGGGATTGATAGCCAGTCTCATTAGCCTTCTCCACCAATGACACATAGGATGTACCGGGAAGCCATGCCACAGCAGATACTTTAGCTTCCAAGCGTCTAAAAACAACGAGGTGAACATATGGGCAATATACTCCCTGCTTGGCCCATCAGAGGGCTCACCCACCGCCAAGAAGACCAGCTTATACCATACAATACGAACATTGCTGGGGGGAGTGTAGTATTCACAAGCTACAACCGTCAGTAACTCTGTCGTGGGTTGAATTGAATCCTTCGTGAACAGATATAGATACTCAGGCTGAGCCCCGGCATCCGTAAGGGCTGAGAATATGATTTGAAGAAACTTGCCGCTGGTGCCGTTTGCACTTCGTGGGGACCGACAATATTCGATAACTATGGTCTTGATGTTCGAAATCTTCTTCACCGCGTCGGAAATCTGGCTAGTCGCCGGGAACGAGTCAATTCTAGAAGTATCTAGCCAAGGAGGTAAAGTGGACGCCATCTGCCCCGCGTTTGTGAGCCTTCTGGGCTCAAACCAAAGAGTCTCAGGGTATGAGCAAATATCCTTATTGTATGCCACCTCCAATAGATGATAGAACCCTGTCATGTCATTGGTAACTCTGAGTTCGATCCATTTCGCCTTCAACGAGGCCTCTTGAGTCCTGTTGCGTATCCCTTTTGACGCAAGCTCGAGTGTCTTACGGGTCGGCGCATCAAGGCAGCACATAATTCGGGAGTAGAGTTCAGAGGGTATAGTGTCCAGTCGTCTCAGGTCCGCCCACGTATCCACATTGCCGAGCTCTGTTTCTTGGAATGTCTTTCTGATAAACTCTCTTCGGAAAACTGGAGTCAATTCCATTGGTATTATGAGAGATGGGGGCTAGCACTGAATGAAAGATGGCAGTCGACAAAGTTGAGAGTAGTGAGTGTTCTATCTTCATCGTGAGATTCCAAATATCTCATGACAAGTCTGAGAAGATAGTTGAATTTGTCCTTACCTAAATATGCGGTCGATCGTAACGGATATTTCTGTAGTTGGTACTGGTAAACGAGAACGACAGACGTGATGCTTCAAGTGCACCAAGGCAAGGCCATATGCTCCAGAGATATTGTGAGATACCGGCGTATGGAAAAGGCAAGAGCACCTTGCTCTACCACTTATCCTGGTCCCTTCCGTCCGCAGTTCCGCAGTCATATCATATGGGTGGGTAGTTGTTACCCTTTGTGCTTATCATTAGATCTTCTACGCCTGGGGCCTGTATTTGTGGCCTCGATCTGGTACCGGAGCTGGGGTTTGTTTGTTATCGATCTATCATTTCAATTTAGCTCTGACCGGAAGTTGCTTCTTATCCGTAAGCCGCACATCTACCTACCGTTGGACATATAGAAACCCTATGTAATAATGGCGTCTTTGTGTAGTGATGCAACCTAAGTCACTTGAGCTGGGATATCGTCCGACCAACCCTCTTCGTCAATTCTCTATGCGTCCAACTAATCATTCTTGTGCGCTCAGGGAGAACTTGCTCATAATATCTAGCTATCTAGTAGCACATACCCAAGTCTTCAGTCCTAAAACTAACAGTTCTAAGATGTTGTTCTCGACTGTGAGTTAAATTCCAGATAGCAGTTCCTGATACATTCCAACCCTCCTCTTCTCCTCATATGCTTCCTCCGCAAATTGCACGCCTCCAAAATCATTCCTAGCCACAGAAAGTCGAAAAGTCAAATGTGGAAGAAAGACCATTATTAGGGCAGCTCAGTGGAACATTGATACCGTAACTATCAATAATAAAAGATCAGCCTTATGTCTCTTTATTACAAAAGTCGGGGTTAACCAAGGAGGTATATACCAGTTCGATGGGTTACAGTAGGTGATTGGCAGCGGTCCGTTCCCATTGTTGTCGGTATAGTCATGTTTTAGCGAGGAACCGGAAATGCAGTCTTTTCTTCGATTTAGTATACTAAACCAATGCAAGTGGAATAGACAAAACCACAAACATACCAACGTTGTTGTCTCCAGTACCTCCGTTGCCATCGCAGGTTTGAACGCCGCTATCAGTTGTGGTGATGGTGCCATCAGCAAAGTCATTAACATTCCAAGTTGATCCAGTGATGACCAGGCACCCAAGGGCGGAAGATGAACAGCCTAGAACAAAGCAGCTGTGGCCAGGGCTTTCGAACTGCATGCGACCATCTTGATGATTGATAGAGTAAAGCCTCGAGTGTAGGAAGTGTCTTGGGTTTTATGTGAGATACAATGCCTTTTATGTTTGTGATGCAATGTCTTTCCAGAAGATTTGGGAGGCATCTCTGATCTTGGGCTACTTATATAGATATCTAGTACTCTCGTTCTCCATCCATCGTCGGTGGCTGCAGCAACTTCTCAGGGTCCTGGTACCTAGATTGCAACCAATAGTCGTCCATGTAAGTTATCCTTTTGTTGGATAACCAGTTCTTGAATGCCTTAGTCCTGGTCGCCTTGGCCGCCTAGTTGTTGAATTATGTATAGTTGGAGGCCATATGGTTGAATTCATTGCCCCTGAAAGCCTGTATTCAAGCAGGTTAAGAGTACACCTACTTGGAACATCTGCTTAATTTTATTTCGAAGATGCTTTTGAGTACAGTAGTAACCTGTCAGTTCCTGTCCATGGCTATGCAGAGGATACATTCTTACCCTACTTCACTCAGTGAACATGATGCCGACTCTACAACTCCTCCAAGGAATTACAACGTGACAGATGGGGTGTGTTGATAATTATTCATTCTTGAGATGCAGAAGTAAGCCTGATACAGGATGAGAATAGGTCGGCCTGTCAAGTAATTAGTACCAGTAAAAGCATCAGTGAATAGGTACATCACTAGAAATACACGGATGGAACCAAACTAGGTACATGATGAGTAGTGATCGTCCGACTCTGTCCACCCGTGACTTGTGGCATCTCCGTTTTCAGGTAACCCCGTACATGCAGAACAATAGCAGCTTTATGTTATCTAGGTCTGGGAGGTCTGATCTGTGTAAAGGGGTTTCTTCTCAGTTAGCACGAAGTAGACCACTTTTTTAAAGATAAATGTTTGTTGACTAGTTTCATACTTGTCACCCGATAGTAGATTTTTCAGCTAGGGTTCATGAGATTGGGGATTAGGCCCGCGATATCTGAGGGAAGAGCTCATCACTTGCCTTATATGGATGATGACTGTAGATCTCTCTTAGTACAGCCATGATCGCTGCATACATAGAAACTGACTGTCATGGGAACTAGACTACCTTAGACAGAGACTGGACAAGCGATGATGGTTTAGTGGCTCCTCTAGAAATGCTATTGGCTCACCCATGACAAGTCAAGCTAACATCATGGCTACAAGAATAAAAGGCCAAGCTTTTCCCACTATTTAGTTTCCCATACATTTCGCATTGCCAATAAATAACGCTTGAGCGTATTATCATTATCAAGAACGACAAATCCCAACCGGAAAGGTTGGATGATCATCGGGGAACGCAAGCATGGCATCCACTAACTAACAGCGATACTAACTCTCCTTGACATCTTCCTTACCTCCACCTTTCGGGAAGACGCTTTCCCCAACTCCTCCTTATCTCTTACATTCCTCCTCCCTCACCCCTCTATCTATCTCTCCATCCATCCCCAAATACGCACATGACACCTCCACCTTTCGGAGAAATAGCGATACGAGCTACCACCCATCCAATACACACTCATCCTATCGCGCGGAGAAATTGCGGAGTCATGCAATGCAATTCTGCCACACCTCTACTATCACAAAGTGAGGGGGTGTTAAACATCAAGACACCACCTCAGCAGCGACACGAGGGGTCTAGACGATGGTGAATGTAGGACGATCATGTAGGTATGAGTAGAAGTCAGTGGCTATCATTCACCTATGGTCCGTGTGAGGGGGTTCTTTGTTCGACGTTGTTTGGCTCGGAGAAATAAGATTAGGGCGAGTCTTGCTGCAGTGGTTCGGTCCCGCGGCTGCAGGGCGTCTGGACCAATTGGAGAATTAGCCTGGTTTTGGGGGGAGGGGTGTGAATTTGGTCTATCGAGGGATAGGTATCTACACTATTGCATTTGGGGGCGCGAATTTGGAGGTTTGATTGATTGATATGTTTATTATTAGAAGCTTGGCTATTTATATGGCTTTACTCCCCAGGTATCACGTTCTGTTGGAGCACTTGTCTCAGAGAGAAGAAAATTAGTACTCGGAATCTCAGAGAATTCAACATGGGTGCTATGTCCCTTCCTTCGGACGAGATCCCCCAAACTCAGACGGTGGCTCTCGTTCGAGAACTGGGTGGCAGTGTGGAATTCCGTGAAGGCTATCCCGTTCCTACCCCAGGGTCGAATGAGGTATTAGCGAAGGTGCTCTACACAGGCGTCTGTCAGAGTGGTCAGTCTTAGAACATCGATCATACAAGTCATCTAGATGGCTAACACGTTCGGGAAGATCTACATACGAAAAACGGCACCGCCGCTGGTGCTGATGGCAACCCAATCACCAAGATTAAACTGCCGCATGTTGGAGGCCATGAAGGTGTCGGGCAAATTGTGGCTCTGGGCCCCAACTGTGACCCTGACCTGAAGGTCGGTGGACTGGTCGGCATTCGCTTCGCTAGTCGGATTTGTAGGAGATGCGAATTCTGCTTAGCCGGCACGGAACAGTACTGTGTCAAGGGCACAAACCACCTCCACCATGAAGACGGCAGCTTCCAGCAGTATATCGCTTTGGATGCCGACAATCTCACTATCCTTCCTGACGATATAGATCCAAAGGTTATTGGGCCGGTGCTGTGTGCTGGAGTCACAGCATACAAGGTAAGAATCAGTTCTAAGCATGAACCAACCAAGGCATCTAATCGCTGACTATCCCTAGGCTGTTCTCAATGCAAACATCCGGGCAGGCAACTGGCTCGTCGTTGTAGGTGCCGGAGGTGGCCTTGGACATCTGGCTGGTAAGTCTGCCGCATCATCGCAAGACTACACGTGCTGACCAGACAGTACAATATGCGAAGGCACAGGGAGCATTGGTGATCGGTGTTGACGCTGCCGACAAGCGAGATTTTGTCCTTGGATTGGGAGCTACCGAGTTCATTGACTTCACTTCAACGGATCCGGTGCAGCGGGTCCATGAAATTACCGGTCTTGGTGCGCATGCTGTTGTTGTGACTGCGGGAAGTGCCAAAGCGTTCGCCCATGCCTGTGACATGCTGCGGGTTGGAGGCACTCTAAGCTGCGTTGGAATCCCGCCGGGCCGTCCAGTACTGGAAACTCCTATTTGCACGATCGTAATCAAAGGCCTCCGGGTTACCGGAAACCTTATCGGCTCACTGAAAGAGTGCATGGAGGCAGTAGAGTTGGTCCGACGTGGGGTTGTCAAACCGGAAATCAAAGTTCGCACGTTCAAGGAGTTGCCTGAGGTGTACGAAGAGATGGAGAAGGGTGACATTGCAGGTAGAATTGTCCTTCAAGTTTCGCAGTAGCTTACTCGTGCTGTATAGTTCAGAGAATAGCAGTTCTGCAGTTCGTCATATCTCTTTGACAGGATCAGACACTTTCACCCACTTTCTATCCATAAAGATTCCAGTGCGAATCAGCGTCCTCCTCAGGAGAGTCCACATGCTTTCCAGTGCTGTGAGCGTACTCCCCATCGTGATCGAATGACCAAGGGTTATAGTCCATTCTCAATATGCGCGCAGGGGCTTTAACCAAAGCCTCGGCCGTCTTACTATGCAGTATCGACTTCAGCATGAAGTCTTGCTCTAGGAAAGGTAGCAGCTTCTGGTACAACGCGTGCAGAAAATCATGCGGCCGCATTTGAAAGTCAGAGCATGTCTGGACACACGGCGTGAGCAGGACCGTATCCGCGAGTGAGTTGGCAATCTCGAAACACTTCAATAGCTATTTCAGACTTCAATTAGTACGCTATCTTCAATGATTGCAGAAGACATACCTGGTCGCGTCCCAATGGCAACAGGTCAGACTCGGTAAAGCTTTGCAACGACATCAGGAGGTCACGGCTAACCACAGCTGGGAACCTGAACGTCATAAGTCGGGCACCCGATTTCGACGAGAGCAGATGCCGAGACAGAGCTTCCTGCCAGATGATGGTCCTCATCCATTCTTTCGTGATGCAGTAATCAGCAATACGGGTGGACGGTCTGTCGCCTCGGCCGAACGAAAGCATCGACAAGACTGTCTCCGTCTCTGCCAGACTATCTGCAGTCATTGCCGGTTTATCTATAGCATTGGAGCTTCTCCTAGACGAAAATCCATCAAACGTGGCAAAGAGTCTGCCGAGCTCCAGCAAGCCTTTCACATCTGCATTATTGCCGACATCGACCTCATCTGGTAGACGAATAGGAGTGGTATACGAGGGTTCGAGACCAAGATGCAAAGAATAGCCCCTAAACCGTGTCAGCTAAAGTGAGCTATAATCGAAGTGTGGAGGCAGTTCCTACCTTTCAGAAACCCACAGCAATAGAAACACGATCTCCTTATTAGCAACAACATCCGCATCCAGCTCAGTATCATGTCCACCCACCCCCTCATCCAGCTTCAAGAGCCGAGCTCCATACACAGCCTCTCGTATGAACAACATAGCCGAGTCCCTCTTATTGATCTTGGCATGATAAACGTGCAGGAAGAAGGAAACCAAGACGCTCCTCAAGTCGAGATGTGCTTCACGCATCCTCATACACTCCGACGCCATCATCGTGCTATCAAAACTTGCTGGAGCAAGCTGCAGCTGCGCCATGGTGGCTGCACAGAGAGCCATAGCCAGACACAAGGTTCCCACATCCGGTGTGCCATGTTCAAGCTTCTCCAATAGCACTTCAGCATCGACAACCGGCCACACGCTATAAGAAGCCTGCTGATACGAACGCACAACTGAGACTAGTTCTTCTATTGGGATAATAGTCGATGCAAGTCGCTCTGCTTCCACATGGGATATCCCCTCGTCACGAGGATCGACATGCGGAGAGATCAGAGGACCAGCCGGCGCGTGTTCTTCTCCCTGTTCACCAGTATACCTCCTTACCTTTGGACCCCTTCTCCGTGCAGGCTTCAGGTAAGTGCAGTTGACCTGCTTGGGGGCACTCTGGCAGGTATCGCAAGGCCAGGCGCCGCTGCACTTGACCTTGCGGGAGATACACTCATCGCATGCACGCTTTGTGAGTCGATGGCGCATGGGTAGGGGATGATAATCACTGAGTCCCAATCAGATAGCTAACGAAGGAGATAGATGGATGGATAGATAGATAGATAGGAAGAAGGGAAGATGAAGGGAGTATCCGAAGAGAGGGATGAGATGAATGATTAGCTGCAGATGAGGGGAAGCAAAGCAATTGCGGAGTCAGAAGACCGGCCATTCATTAGAATCCCGATTGCATGCAGATTCCACCATTTTCTCCACAGCCATAATTCCATTCCACTTGTTCATTATCTTAACAAAGTCAATATAACAATGTGACCCATAGTTACATGGACATGTTATGATGTGGCATGACAACAGCATCCCAAGTATAGAAGGAAGGAAGTAAATGATCATGTAATCATTTATGTAACAGACTAACTACCCCCACACCCCCAACCGAGCTTAGCAATCAAGCTGGACCCCTCCTGTCATTTACTCCAGATCTTCTACCTACTTCTTTCCTTTCTTCTCTACTACCTACTTATTCCTCCTCCTTACTTGGTTGAATCCCTTCACAAAGCCAACAAACACACCCATCCTCTACAAAGAACCCATCAATCAACCCTCTACCAACCACCCAAAATGGAAGACACTCCCCTCCCCCCCGCAAGCACCGACGTACGTCTACCCCACAATCCCCATCCATCCCTCCTCTTCAAACCCCCAAGCTAATAACCGAAACAGCCCCGCGACCTCGCAGCCCTCGAATCCAACCCCTCCGTCCTCTTCCCCACCTTCACCTCCAGCACCGCCTGGACCCTCGGCCTCGCCCTGCGCGAGCGCATCCTATCCCTCCCACCCACACAACGCAAACCAGCCTTAATCTCCATCACCTTGACGGGCGGCTCCGAACCACACGTCATCTTCCAATGCGCGACCGAGCCCGGCACGGTAGCAGACAACGAGGTGTGGGTGCGACGGAAGCGCAACACGGTGTTGCGATGGGGCGTGTCGAGTTGGTTGATGAGACAGAAGATGTTGAGTTCGTCGGGGGCGGAAGCGAGTGAGGTGGAGGCGGCGTTTGTGAGGAAGTTTGCGTTGACGAGTACTGGCGGGGGAGGCGCGGCGGATGAGTTTGCGATTCATGGGGGTGCGTTTCCCATTCGGGTGAGGGGCGTGGATGGCATTGTGGGTGTTGTGGTGGTGAGTGGGTTGAAGCAGGAGGATGATCATCAGGTGGTGGTGGAGACGGTGAGGGAGGTTATTGCGAAGATGTAAATGGATTTATTAGAGTGTATTATATTATATATATAGGATCTGTATTAGAGTGAAATATTTATTTTGTGCTGTGTGGTGGTTGTGTGATGTGTATAGTCTACAAAATTAGAGTCAAGTTTGGATAAAAGGTATCATGCAATTGCTGCCTCTAATAATGTCAAGGTCAGGTCAGGTATCATACTCGGTTGGACGACTGGTCAGCAAAAACCGGGCCAAAACAATGGTCTCAACAAAAACACACAACAATCAAAATGCTAACTCCATAAAGATCCCTCTAATGGTATGGTAATTTTACAATTCATCATGCCCGCTGGGCTCGTCATCCTCGTCCGCCGGCGCAGAGCCATACAGCTTGCTGGTAATCGGGTACGCCACGTTCGAGAGCTGCTCCTTCTGCTCCTCGAAGTCCTCGGTGGTGGCGGTGGCAGCGTTGTCCTCGAGCCACTCAGTCACCTCCTTGACGGCGTCCAGGATGGTCTGCTTGTCGTCCTCGTCGATCTGGCCACCCAGGCCGTTCTCGTCGTTAACCTGGTTCTTCAGGCTGAACGCGTAGTTCTCCAGGGTGTTGCGGGCCTCGATCTTGGCCTTGATAGCCTTGTCCTCCTCGGCGAACTCCTCAGCCTCGGCGACCATGCGGTCAATCTCCTCCTGGGACAGACGACCCTTGTCATTGGTGATGGTGATGGACTCGGCCTTGCCAGTGCCCTTGTCGCTGGCGTGAACCTTCAGGATACCGTTGGCATCCAGGTCGAAGGAGACCTCGATCTGAGGAACACCACGGGGAGCCGGGGGAATGCCGGTAAGCTCGAACTTGCCGAGCAGGTTGTTGTCCTTGGTCAGGGAACGCTCACCCTCGTCTGTGCCAGTCAGTTAGCAGACATTCCGGGATAGTCAATCAAAGCATGAAATACTTACAAACTTGGATAAGGACGGTGGGCTGGTTATCAGCGGCGGTAGAGAAGATCTGGGACTTGCGGGTGGGGATGACAGTGTTGCGGGGGATGAGCTTGGTCATGACACCACCAGTGGTCTCAATACCCAGGGTCAGGGGGTTGACATCCATCAGAACAACGTCGCCGGTGCCCTCCTCACCGGAAAGGACACCACCCTGGACGGCAGCACCGAAAGCAACAGCCTCATCAGGGTTGATACCCTTGCTGGCCTTCTTGCCACCGAAGAACTCCTCGAGAAGAGCCTGGACCTTGGGGATACGGGTAGAACCACCGACGAGGACAATGTCGTCAACCTCGGACTTCTTAACCTTGGCATCCTTGAGAACCTGCTCGACAGGCTTCAGGGTCTTCTTGAACAGATCCATGTTCAGCTCCTCGAACTTGGCGCGGGTGAGGGTCTCAGAGAAGTCCTCGCCGTTGTGGAAGGCCTCAATCTCAATACGGGTGGACATCTGGGAAGACAGAGTACGCTTGGCCTTCTCAACCTCGCGCTTCAGCTTACCCATGGCCTTGAGATCCTTGGTGACATCAACGTTGTTCTTCTTGTTGTAGAGCTTGACGAAGTGGTCCATGACACGCTGGTCAAAGTCCTCACCACCCAAGTGAGTGTCACCAGCGGTAGCCAAGACCTCGAAGACACCGTTGTCGATGGACAGGAGGGATACATCGAAAGTACCACCACCAAGATCGTAGACGATGACCTGGCGCTCATCACCAGTCTTGTCCAATCCGTAGGCGATAGCGGCGGCGGTGGGCTCGTTGACGACACGGAGAACGTTCAGGCCGGCAATGGTACCAGCGTCCTTGGTGGCCTGTCTCTGGGCGTCGTTGAAGTAGGCGGGGACGGTGACAACGGCGTGGGTGACCTTCTTTCCAAGGTAGCCCTCGGCGATCTCCTTCATCTTACCGAGAACCATGGCGGAGACCTCCTCGGGGGTCAGGGTCTTGGGGCTCTGGTTAACATCGACCTTAACGTGGGGCTTGCCGTCCTTGTTGACGACCTTGTAGGGGAAGTGCTTGGCGTCCTTCTGGACATCCTTGTCATCGAACTTGCGACCGATCAGGCGCCTAGAGAGCGTTAGCAACAGATTGCCACGAAACTCGCGAGAAGCAGATAAACTCACTTGATGTCAAAGATGGTCCGTCTGGGGTTGGCGGCGTATTGGTTCTTAGCGGCGTCACCGACCAGGCGTTCCTCATCGGTGAAAGCGACGTATGAAGGGGTGATACGGTTTCCTTGGTCGTTGACGAGGATTTCGACCTTTCCATTCTGCATAACACCGACACAAGAGTAGGTGGTTCCCAGATCAATACCAATGACTGTTGAAGACAGAGATTGTTAGTGGATTTCTTTCAATGTCCTGACAGACGCTGTGCTTACCAGTTCCGTAGCTATCTTGAGGCGAAGTCTCATCCTGAGCGTGTGCAGTGCCGAAGAAGGCGAGGGGGGCAATGAAAACAAGCAACAAGTAGAAGATGGTGGTCCAAGCCGTGAAGGGCTTGGCCGCACCCTGATGCGAGATGCGCGCCATTATGTGTGAAATGTCCTTTCACCACAGGACACGTAGTAGGCTTTTTTAATCGACGAGCTGCTCAATTGGAGACAGCAGCGAATGAATGTGAAAGAATCCTCCTATTGCTCGTACACGGTTTTTATTCCCCGGCACGAAGAAAGAAGGAAAAAATAGATACAGTCCAACCCAGATGAGAACGGGAAGGAAAGAAAGAGCGAAGGGGGGAAGGGGGAGAGAAGAGAGTTGGGTGAAAGAAGGCGACGACGGAGAGAAGAAAGAGTGTCTCGAGAAGCTCCGGCCAGCTTCTTGTATGGCTTGCCAGCGGCAAAGAAAGCGCAGCGGCCATGCTGGCCTTTTCGCGGGTATCTGGCTTTAAGGTTACTCCTCGGGCTGTCATTGGTCCGCGACGCGTCCAGGGCAGGGCTGAGTCAGCGTGCACGGCCACCGCCCGGTGGTTCTGCCGGCGGAAAAATGGAAGGCGTTCGTCCAAATGGGGAAAGGCGGTCCACCGAACTTGCTAGAATCGTCGCGTGATTCGCTCGCTTCGGTTAGGCGTTCTTCACTCCTCCAGGGGCACTTTGCCTCTTTCGGCACTTGGACAACTGGCCGTTCCGTTCCTTCGGCGCCATTTCCCGGGAGATTGACCCTACTCTTACTGAAGTCCGGGGGTTGACGCTGAAGATTGAGGAAAAGATGAGAAAAGGGGCCAGCCTGTCAACAACTCGTCAATCACCACATGGTCAGATTCCACTATTGACCATCATTGAGTCAAGTCATTACTCCTTTTTGAGTCACTAAAAGATCACCCAAGGGTCTTCCGCTGTGAAAGTGGATACATCCCTCCCCACTCAGGAGGCGCATCCCAGCTTGGCCTGATTCCTGAATTATTGATCCAGCCAAGGCATCAGGTTTCTGCCAGCCTGGCCAGATCGTTTGATCTCTGTTTCAGTGGATGTGGGCTGAAGGGACCCTTTCTCCGTTAGTCACAAAGGGGCCATTTCTAGCAGCACTCGTAGTAGTGTATGAGACAAATATACGGAGTACTCTTAAGTTACATAATAGTAGTAGATTGTTAGTAGTACTTGTGGTAGTAAAGTAACCATCATATACTTAGAAAATCAATACATACTGCTTAATTGCTGAACACGATTATTATGATCAGTAGTACTAGTTGACTACTACATAGCGGACCAACTTGGTGCGCTAAAGTGGCGCGGAAAGAAATATATATATATATGTTTAAAGGCAACCATGTAAATACTGGGACATACTATCTACATCATAAATATATATTGTCCAGACAATGCAATCAAGCCCATAATCTACTCTAGCAACCCAGCAGCCACTGTTTCACCCCCAGCTCGTAGTACAATGCGTGTAGGTGCCTCAAGAGGTACAGCCTGGTCCATCTCAACCACTATCCGTGCCACAGTGCCGGGTGCAACAATCTTGGGCTTTTTCTTAATGCTTGCGCCAGTCACCTTGTCCAAGGTTGCGACCAGTTGGCTGATCCGGCCGGGTACGTGCAGGCGGCCCCGGTGGATGTCCACCATGCTGGGCAACAGATGGTCAAAGGCCAACACCTTGCACGTAAACGAAGTGACATTGGCAATGGGTGCCGAGGCACGGCAGATGACATCGCCAGATCGGAGATGGATGGGATCAATATTGACCAGGTTGAGCGTGACGTTCTGGCCCGCCACCGCCCAGTCGTTGGGCTCCCCGTCCACTTCCAAGCTGCGTATCGTGGCCTTTTCGCCACTTGGCATCGTAAGGATCTGATCGCCAACTTGGAGACTACCGGCGTCGATGCGGCCAGAAATGGATAGAGGATTCTGAACGCTGCCCCGGAAGACGTCCCCAATGGTCATTCTCAATGGCTTCTCAATAGCATGGGCGTAAGGTTCCGTAGCTTCAAGCTCCTCGATCAACGTATGACCCTTGTACCATGAGACATTCGGGTCTTCGCTGCGTCTAGTTACGTTATCGCCGCTAATACCCGAGCAGGGCACGAAAGCGATGTTTTTGGCTTGGAATCCAGCAGTTGTCAGGAAAGAAGAAACCTGCTGTTCGATCTCTTCAAAGCGACCTTGGTCCCATTGGACAGAGTCCATCTTGTTCACAGCAATGATGATCCTCTGCACACCCATACTCCGCACGAGGAGAGCATGCTCCTTCGTTTGACCCTTGAGTCCAGACTCAAAATTGCCTATGCTAGAGTCGATGACGAGAACAGCAAAATCGGCTTGACTGGCGCCCGCAATCATATTGGGTACAAAGTCCCGATGACCCGGAGCATCCACAATCGTAAACACCGTACTCTCCGTCTCGAACTTGTTGGTTGCAATATCAATAGTAACACCCCGAGCTCTCTCCTCGGAGCCTTGATCCAATACCCAGGCAAGGGCAAAGGATCCCTTCCCAATCTTCTCTGCCTCTTTACGATATTTCTCTAACGTGCGCTGATCGACAGCTTTGAGGTCGGCCAGCAGGCGTCCCATCAACGTACTCTTTCCTGCGTCGACATGACCTAATAACTTGTCAGTGGCGTCCATCCGCAGAGAGACGGGTAGTACGAACCGATAACGGCGAAATTCATGGCTTTCTTCCGTTGCGTTTTCTGGTATTCAGACAGTACATCTAGGTTCTTGCTCTTCACATTCACCTTCTCCTCCACACTCAGGCTGTTCATGCCTTCAGCCAAACCGGCCTGGGATTTCTTGTCACCTGCTGACTTAGAAGCAGGTTGTTTCGATTTGAAGCCTGCATGTCCATTAGGGAGTATCTATATCTTGCGCCGAATAGCCAAACCTTTTGCAGAGCTCTGAGCATTCAAGACAACATCGTCGGGGCTTGGGCCTGCAAAATCAAAGGGTTCAGCAAGTTCTTGACCGTATATTTTGATCAGATCTAATGTGCTGGCGGATAGGTGGCTGGGCTCGGCCATCTTTGGGCGTGTCGCTTCTCCAACAATCGTGCTGGCGAATGTAGACGGTGGTGCGCGAATGTTGAAAGCGGCTTCTTCTTCCTGCTTCTTGCCGGTTGAAACGGGTGGTTCCATATCTGCCTGCCCAGTGACCTCCGGACTGCTTTGCTTTCTCGGCTCTGGGGACGGCATTTTCTGGGGCGAAGGGCTTCCCAGCCGCGATCCTTTATTGAGTGACCGAAGCGATTGCAGACCCTCAGACGATTTCTGTGGCTTGCCATTGCTAGCGAGTCTCTCACGGAGAGAAAGGGCGGGGCTCTTTCGCTCAGTGGAAGATGGCCGGGAGCTTTCAACTTCAGACGGAGGTGTAGGGGTCGGTGCAGCAGACTTCTCTCCCTCTTTCTTCTTGCGCGCAGCAGCCAGAGCAGCCAACTTGGATACCTTTCCGGAATTCTCAGGAGCTCCACCAAGCAGACCCAAACGGGGATATAGAGGCTCAACGAGTATGTCTGCCTTACGGTGTGCAGGGATGTTGAGCCACGGTGCATCGCGAAAGAAGTCGGCTGCCGAGAAATGTGCAGTCGAAGAGGCCGGAGGAGACAATGGAACAGGATATACAGGCACTAGGAAGTCTGTTAGAACATACTTCAACTTCCGTAACGGCGTCAGTTCAAAGCAATCAATCACGAGGGGTAAGGGTAATGCTCACAGTTTATGAAATCCTGACCGACAGTACGTATATACGCCGACTTGCAGGCGATCCAAGCCCAACCACCATAGTATAGACGAGCAGATGCGCTTACCTGTGCTTGCTTTTGCCTTGACAGCCGGAGCCGGAGCCGAAGCCTGTTTCTTCTTGACCTCCTTCGTCTTTTTACCTGCATCCGATGGTTCTTATTAGCCACCGATGAAGCAGGTCGCCAATTCTGCTGTAACGCAGTCCACATATTCTCTTCCGGAGAGGAGTGATAACGAACCTCTCAGGTAATTCACAGACTTCTCAACATCATTGTAATAGTGCCATAGCGCCTCTTGCACCTCATCGCGAGTCGCGGTGACAGGAGGGTCCCCTGCACGGAGCTGGTTCAACACTTCTGCAGTGCACTGCTCAAGAAATTCCTCCTCCTCGGGATCCGGGGAATCATAGTCATCGTCAAAGTCATCTTCGTCGTAGCTCACAGCCTTAACGCGATGGCGCGACATGGTGGTGGTGGTGGTGGTGGTGGTGTGTTGTTGTTGGGAGCGGGGCAGGTTGCTAGGGAGGGGTTTTCCGGGAGACGGTAGGTTTAACGAGGGATTGGAGAATTCCCAAAGAAACAAATACGAGAAAGAAAGATATAAGTAAACAGCACGCTACGTGCTTTGGTGAATGCCCGAATGTGAATGGGCCAAGAGGGTAGAGTCAAGAAGTTGGCAAAACAGAGAGCCGAGTCGGAGGCTGTCGTTGTGGAGGAGCTGATCGAATCCCACCACGTCATTCCCCGCTCGGTGGCCTCAGGCCGCTCAACTACTGCGGATGGTTCTTCCATCACGAATATCCCTCAAAGCAATCTACAGCGCCTTATTTCCAAGCTACATTCAATGCACAGCATTTTGAGATCACCTTTTGAACAGATAAATTGTGGTATTTTCTATCTATCGAGCGACTCTGATGTCACTCCCAAATTTACTTCATGTATACCCAACTATGACCGGACATCCAAATGTCGCCTCTATCTTCCTAAGACCTCCAGAACTGGTCGATATAGCAAATCGATAATATCATAAGGAAACGTCGTCAAAGATCTATACCCGGATTCGGGCGGAGATGTTCACTTCAAGGGACTTCCACTGAAGAAGTCACCCGCTCCAGGGCCAGCAAAGCTGCCGTTGCTGGGCGTCAGAGCGATGGAGCGTCGGAAGGCCTGTCTGGGTGTGGCTGGGGCACTAGCAGCGGCGCCGACAACATCAGACGTGCTAGGAGTGTTGCGACCGCTGTTGTTCTGCATCGTAACCGCCGTTCCGGGGCGGGAGAGCACGGTTGGGACACCGTTTCTGGGAGGGGGTCGGAATCCAAGTTTGGAACCTTCGCGGAAGATCTCTTCCAATATTTGAGACACAATACCTGCATCTTCGTATTCTTTGAATTTCTTCCATAGACGTAGGGCCATGCGTGCGTCCTCGATGGAGTCGTGTCCTTGGTTGTCATCGGCCGGCTCCTCTTGGATGTATTCCTTGAATACCGCCCAGGCCAGATACCGAAGACTGAGACGGCGGTTCTTTCCGGGGTGGAAGAACAAGTATTGGGTATCTACCGTCTGACTCTTGGGAACTTGAATGTTGACTTTGCGGAAATCAGAGGCTAAGCCATGTCCGACAAACACGCAGCCTAAGTTGAGGAGCAGCCAGAGTTTCTTGTATGCCACCTTTAGCGGGACAAGGTTGTGCTGACTGACCCTAGGGTCCAGATCCCCGGGCTTGATGCCTGAGTACTGAGTGACATAGTCGACAATATTCTCTTTGATGGTAATGTAGTCGTCGATGAAGGGCACACCCTCTCGAATCCCTGAGCCTCGGAGAACAGATACCCTAGCAAGTCCGCTCTTGTTGGGGCGTACAATTTCCTGAGAGCCATCCGCTTTCACATCGATTTCTGCTTTCTCGAGATCGACAAACTCGGTATCGAGAGCAACAGGCGTACCAGGGGTTGGCTTCTCCTCTTCGGAGAGCGTGACGCGAGATTCTACCGGACGGCCACCACTGGAAGAGGGAAGATTAGCGCAAACCACGTGCTACTGGAAGGGGGTCAACTTACTTTAGCGACCAGTCACGGAAGAGAAGAGTGGTGTCGAGCGTGTCTTTCCAAGTATCATCCATAGCATGTCGACCATCTTGCACCTGGTAGGCTAGCACGCACGGTATTTTCCATGGTTGATTGAAGCGGAGGGCTTCGTCTTTGTCGACTTCTGTGACAAGGAAGTCATTGAAAAGATGCCACTTGTTCTTGGCTTCCGGTTCACGAGATGAGATGGATACGTTGATAAAAGAGACTAGATGTGCCTTTTGGTGCTCTGGAATATCGATCTCACAAACCAAACCCACCAGGTCATATACCACGAGACCTGGCATCTTGGCTTGGACTCGTACTTTTAGGTCTTCACCTTCGAAGCATAGAATTTGACCACCGTCGATGACGATTCCAACTTCTTCCGGCAACCACCCAGGAATCGCCCACAGCCGCCGGCAGATGGGGTTGGTGAGAGCCGCATTAAGCATCAAGACCTGAGGCATGCGGTGAACAGATTTCCGGATAGCAACTTGCTGGTATCGACGGCAGTAGTTGCACCATCCTCTATTCTGGGTTTCTCGCTCAATGCTGGCCCGTAAGATATTCGAGAACCGGAAGGCAGGATTCCTGCGAGCTTGCTTGATATCGATCGCAGGATAGTTCAGCTCGTTGACAAGGGAGTTGCCCGGTCTCACAATCTCGTTCTGGCAGAACATACAGCGAATGGACTCGGACGCGACTGTCGCTAGTCTGTGGTCTAGGTCGTCCGAGCTCGGCGAGATCATACGGAAGTCGTGCGAAATTTGACCCAGGAAGAATCTGTTGACAGCCTGGATCGCAGCCGAAAGTGACTTGTTTGTCAGGTTTTCTTCAAACAGACCCAAGTTGGATGCTTCACGGTAACTACTGAAGGTTTTCAAAAGGTTCGTTGCTTGGCAGTTCTGGCCGCTCGCTTTCTCGAGCATATCGAATAGGTAGCCCATCTCGCAGAGCAGACATGTCTCGAAAATACAAGAACTTGCTGCGTGATGGAGAGCCACGTTGCGGATATAAGGGATGAATTTGAATAGCTGAAGGAGAGCGTTGGTAAAGGAATTGGCAATATGTGTTTCCAATCCAGAGAAGGTCGTTTGGTTGTAGAATCTATCCAGAATATTAGATGCTGCATATCACTCCTCAGAATACAGGGACACTTACCTGAAGTCGAAATCATCGACACCAAACCTACTGTACTTGATCTCAACATTACTGTATTTAAGGAGAGGATCATCGTCCGTTTCTCCATTGATTTTGGCACCCGCCAGAGCCTCGGCAGCATCACTGATAGCCCCTTCTGATTGCGCTTTACTCTGCTCTCGTGCTTTCTCACTCAGGAATTTGGGAGCAATAAGGGCAGGCTCTGCAGACGACAAAGCGCGTGTGTTCTCGACTTGATAACGCCGTGTCTTCTTCGGATTCGGCGCATGGTGCCCGAGCTCTGCCGGGCGGAGATAAGGAATCAGAGCCTGATCTACTTGAGGAGGGGGGCTGCCGACTTCGAAGATCAGATGGCTCGGCCACGCAGAGAAAAGACGGTCGTGATAATATGGCATGCCGATCATATTCAGGGGCGTTTCTGGAGACCAATCCAGGGTAGGGGGACGAGGGGCTACATCCCCGAATTCCGCCTCTTTGCTCATCTCATTGAAATGAACCTTTGCTGGTGATCCCCATAGATGAATTGCACATTCAGCGTCATTAATAGCCAGTGCTTCTCCGGATGGTGACAAGTCGATACCCAGCATGAAGGAAACGTTCGCCTGGCGGAGATTGATGGCATTCGGGTTCATCAGGTCCACAACTTGAAGCTGGCCTGTCTGAGATGCAATAAAACTCGTTGTATGCAGCTTTGGGTGCATTCGTACATACGCAGCTCCGGCGTGGAATGGTATTGGGGGTAACGGCGAGAGGGTCTTTAGGTCGTATACATTGGCCAACGGATCGACGATCGGGGAACCCAGATGCCTGACAGAGAAGCCGCAGGTAACCAAAAGATCGTTCCGAGCATCCATATCATTGACTGCAGTTCCGTGTGCTTTCCACGTCTTCACCACACTGAAGTCATTCAGGCTCAGCGCGTTGACTGAGCCCGTATCTGTCGCTCCGCAAAGGTATCGGCTCTTCTTCATGATTGTGTAGTTATAGTCTGTGTGTAGCTTGTCGATTATGATTCCCTTATCAATATCGATTGTAAACATCGATTTCTGACATCCTGCCACTATAATTCGGTTGGTTTGGGCTGTGAAGCTCATGCAGCGAAGATCGGTCATCTCTTCGTGAGCGATATGCCATTGTGTCAAGCCGCGCCGTGTTATCATGTGCACACTTTTCGGGGAGAGCGAGATGACGCCTCTATCGTGAAAAATAATCTGCCGTACCGGTTCCGTCGCAGGATGTGCCCGGACAGAGGTATATCGCTGGAGCTCAGGGCCGAAGAAGGAGGTGATTCGTCCCTAATGGAGTACACGAACGCTGGTCAGCACAGCCTTCGGTGATAGCTGCAAACAACGGAAAAACCGACAAATTCATTTCCCACCCACAATAACTCCATCACATCATCAAAAGCTATTGCGGTTGCGATTGTCGGCAGGGCATGCACGCTCGGTGCAGGCACCGGAATGCGCGACAGTTCATCCCAATCGGCCTCCATGGCCTTGACATCGCACCCGGCAAGGGTGTCGAGCTCAAGATAGGTACGGTCTTCGAATTATTGCGGTGTCAAGAAGTTTCAGGCAAAGCGTTGGGTTTGTCCATTGGGGGTCAGGGCGAAAGCGGGCATCGTTCGGCGAAAGCGCGAGTGCGGGGAGAAGGTCTGGCTGGAAAAGGCGTGGTCTTCGAACTCCGGACCATCAAGCACAGGGACGGCAAGATTCACAAGCTGGCACCCACAAGCACAGTCCCAGGCTCTCGGCTCTCGTTTCTGGGAGCAACAGCAGACGAGACAAATGGTCTCTGGGGAAGGGGTACCTTCCAGTCAGAGCTGCCGGCAATGGCTGATGAGGTACCGACGCATAATTTCACGTGACTTCAGCCCGAGCGGGACAAACATCCAGCACATCACGCCGTTTCTTCGTCACCGCCTACTGCATAACTACGTACTATGATTGCGATCCTCATACACATGATGTAGTTCTTGCTTAGTCGTGTTGTCTTCTATTTTTTTTTTTTTTTACAGATCTCGCTGTTTATAATTCAAATTCCGTCAATTTCTAGGGATGTGACAGTAGTCAGGATTATGCTCTTCCTTCAAAAAGCGAAGTACCTGTATAGCTAACATTTGATATATAGTGGCTCGACTGATGATATCAAATGATACAGATCGCCGAGTTGAAGTGAAAGTGTTAAGTAGTAGTATGAACACTTACAAAACGTATGAACAAGAAGAATCATATAACGATCGTCAGACTACTAACCAGTTGACCGAACTCTTATCATAAAGAGACATGAATCCGCTCGTTCCTTTACCTACCGCAAGTGCTCAGGACTCCAGTAGGGTAGTAAGTATTGGGATCGCCATGATAACAAAAAAAGTCCACTATAACTACTTGCCAAGCTATAACCAGACCGCTGCCTACACCTCATCCCCATACCTCCTCATCTTGACTACACACCCTTCTCCGCATGAAAGAACCAATGTAAGAACCTGCCTCTCCTCGCCGACTCTCTTCTCCATCCTATACCCCTCCGCCTGCTCGATAGCTTCAAAAGTCTGCAGCAATCGCACGATGGTGTAACCAACCTCCAGCAACGCAAATTCCTGTCCTAAGCAAACTCTTGGTCCACCGTTAAACGGCAAATACCCCCAGCCTACATCCTTCAGCGCATCGTTCTCCCACCGCTCGGGTCGAAATTCGTCTGCGTCGGCGCCGTAGATATCCCTACGCCGGTGCATCGCATAGACACAGTATCCTACGGCCTCGCCTTTTCTGACGAGGATTGGTGCGGTGCCTGTTGGTCCGCCCCCTGTGGGGAGGGTTGTGGTTTTGGTGGCGGCGCGCGAATTTACAGGGACGGATGGGTAGAGGCGAAGGACTGGGATGTTAATGAAATCAGGGTATTGCGAATGATATTTTGGGTAGGTTGAGATTGAAATACCTTCTTTGATGACGAGTGAGAGATACTGAAGTGATTTGACCTGGGTTATAGTAGGGGTCGGCGACCTAAGTCCCACCCCAACTGTATCACTGATCTCGGCCCGCAACTTGAAAAGGACGTGAGGATGCTGGACAAGTAGACGTCTGGATTTGTGTCAAGAGTCAGCTTTCCCAGAAACAAACATTGGTACATTGGCCCTTACATTGTCCAAGTGAGGCAACAAGCCGTAGTATCCCTCCCAGCTAACAGGATATTCAGGCACTGATCCCGAAGTACTTTCGCGTTCCGCGTTTCCTCGATCAAGGCATCAATGAAGATGTAAGGCTCTGTCTTGGTGTCCCGAGACTTGTTTGTGGCTGAAGTCAAGGCCTTCTGTACAGCATGATCTACAAATTCATGGCATATCTTACACGCTTTCCGAAATTCTCTCCCGCCTAGAAGCCAGTAGAAGTCACCTAATCGTCCGCGCTTTGCCAAATACTCCTGTCCAAGATTGAAAGCGTTCGCAAAGTCCGTTTCCTGGCCTGTGATACCCTCTAGTTGGAGAGATGGCAGGTGTTTTCCAAACAGTAGAAAGAGGGTGGTCTCGAAAGTAAGGCGAAAGAATAGCGGCTGTAGATCGACGCCGTTGTCGTCAGGAATGCTGGAGATGAGGCTGTCTACGGCGCTGCGTATCTGCTCAAAATTGGTGAACCGGTTCGTCATAAATTGTGGACGTAGCAGCTCGCGTGAGTGCCGCCAGTGTGCGCCATCCTGAGTGAAGATCCCACTCCCCAACAAGGGCAAGAATGTTGGGGGTCGTAGTCCGAGTCCAAAGTCTGAATTATTGTTCGTCAGCAGTAGCAAGAGCGTCCGAGGTACAGCACTGACCATCAAATTGGGTCGAAAGAAGGGCCTGTATGTTCTGAGGGTCGATGGTATCGACTCCTCGAGAGAACAGGAGATTTTGCTCGAACGTTGTGCCAGACTTAGCAACGACATTAAGGAAGAACTTGAGAATCTGCTGCCTACGGTCATAACGAAATGCTCGAACAAGTAGATCTAGGCCCAGTGGCCAAGTCGAGTTCCATTGTCTGAGCGGAAGGCACCCTTTAGCGGAAGCGACTTGGTTGTTAGCCTGGAATACGGGTTAGAGAATGGTAAACCAAGGTTGGTAGTCAGCGACTCATACTCGCAGTTCTTGTTGATGGGCAATGAACCTGTAGGTAAGCGCGCATAGTATCAACGCTCCCACGATGAGGCCAGGTGCTGTTGAGCCGAAAAATGCCATATCGCTTGCTTGAATTGAATTTGGGTGAAGGGTAAGAATAAGATTCCCAGATCACGTACCGGGTATTCAAAGCTATCATGTATTCATATATGACCCTCACCACCTACTCCGTGGTTGCATCTGTAAGATTATTCAGGGGCAGAGCGTGTACGCCCAGGCAATTAAAGTTGCACAAGTCCGTATTCGTAGGAGTTGATGACTCCCGAAAGCGCCACCGTAGGGGAGAGTAGTGGGGTAGATAAATGGATCCAAGTCTAGACACTTCATCTCACCATTATGCTTCCTTGTTGGCGTAGGACAGGCCAATCATCCGTCAACCCGGTCCAAGGTTGATACTTAAAAGTCCAGATATAGTTTCACCAACCCACATCCCCGCTATTAATATCTGCGGCTTAGCCAGGTAGCTAGGCCTGCCGGCTGACCAGTGACTGCGATGGGTAGTCCATCAGCGCCCCAGGCTTTTCATTTGCTGGTAACGAAACCCTTACCACATTATCCCTGGCGGATAGTCCCGTCCCCGTCACACTAGACTGCGACCCTGATCAAATAGACGAGGTTGAAGCTGCCGCACCCATAATATCACTGGTATAATTTCGTTTCGTCGCTTGAACACGATTAACGTCAGCAGTAGCGCCAGCTTGCTCGAGACCATGGATCCTTTTTCTATTACCGTGGGGACATTGGCGCTTTTAGAGGCGTGCCAGCGTCTGATCAGCTTCTTAAGGGATATCCCGGCGGCCCTTGCTTCGATACAGTCCGAGATCGGAATTCTAACTGCAGAAGTGGAGTCGTTGCGAAGCGCTGTCGAATCTATCGGAGAGGTTATTCGACGCCTCGATGTAAAGGCTGCCGTGACAGAATTGAGCCCGTACTCGTCTACCCAAAAGAGCCATAACCTTCACAACATAGTGGAGAGATGCAGACAGAGCGTCCGTCATTGTCATTTTCTTGTGACGCGGCTTGAGACGTTGGTCGCTGAGATCTATGGAAAAGCAGGGCCCGCAGTTGGGGGAAAGCTCGATGCTTTGGGCAAAGAGTTTCGCAGGCGCGACAAGTCACAGAGTCTGCAGCGACTGCGAGACGAGTTATCCGCCCAAAAGCAGTCCATCGAGCTTTTGCTTACCATCCTACTTGTGTGAGTGTTGATCATATGCTGTCAATTTCTAGGGCTAAGGGTATCCGTGTCTTCTAGCCACAACGGACAAGAATCGCAGGGGAAACTGGATCAAATGATGACAAAGCTGGAATCCCTTGAAAAGCAATTGCAGCAACAACTGCGCAGGAAACAAGAGGAGCTCGGGCGGTCTGCCACGGTGGGCAGCAAGGAGGAGGATGAAGAGGACGGAGCAACATTATTCAGTCTGAAGAGATCTTTGACCTCCGTTACTACAGCTGTGTCTGTCATACCGCGAAACAAGTTTTTTGATACTCCTCAGCGTGTCAGAAGCTTCTACACAGGACGAGTAAATCTCTTGGAGAATTTGCGGCAAATTCTTCTAGATCAAGAGGACGAGTCGGTGCAGGAACAACGGCGATTTGTTATTTGCGGCCTCGCTGGGTCGGGGAAGACACAATTCTGCTCCAAATTCGCAGAGCAAAATAGAAATAGGTGGGCAAAGCTCTTCTCATAGCGGACCGTGGCATCTTCTTTAACGCCTGCTTATCTTGTCAGATTCTGGGGGGTCTTCTGGATCGACGCCAGCACCCACGAGCGGGCGAAGCAAACATACGCGGACATAGCCAAGTTGGGAGATGTCGAGCTCAACCCTAAGGCAGCCATGCACTGGCTTTCGAGTCAAGAAGAAAGATGGCTTCTCCTGATCGACAATGCCGATGATGCTCGCGTCGAACTCGATGACTATTTTCCACAAGGCGAACGAGGGATCATCATCATCACGTCTCGCAACCCTGCCCACAAGATTCACGGCAATGTTGGGCCATGTTTCTTTGAGTTTGAAGGAATGGGAGAAGATGATTCCAGTGTCTTACTTCTGCGTTCAGCTCAGTTGGCACAACCTTGGGATGCTCATTCTTCGTCATGCGCCTCCAAAATAGCCAGACAACTGGGATTCCTCGCACTTGCTCTGATACATGCGGGGTACGCTATCAGAGAAAACATTTGCTCTTTGCAAAACTACCTGAAAGTTTACGACGGCAGTTGGCGAAAAGTCCGACGAGCGTCAGGGGAGAAGGACGAGATTCTGAGTGCCGCTGCCTCATACGAAATCTGCTACCAGGGTATCGAGGAAAGAGCGACACGAGCATCCGCAGACGCCATCCAATTGCTCAAGATGTTCTCTTTCTTCCATTACAAGAATATTCGCTTCGACATTCTCAAAAGATCCGTACTTAACCCTGCATTCGAGAAAGAAGCACGTGAGGACCACGGCCAGGACAACCATCAGCGACCATTGACCTGGTACCAGAGGTATAGAGACCTGCGTCTCTCCATCTTGGCGTTTATTATGGAAAGCCGGGGCCCGCCTGCCTTACCACGCTGTTTACGCGAGACACCAGCAGCTGATTTTGACGAGTCGAGAGTACGGTACGCGCTTAGAGAACTTACACGGATGTCTCTAATCACCCACAACGAGGCAAATGACAGCTACTCGATACACCCATTTGTACACAGATGGGCTCGGGAGAGACCGGGCATGAGCACTGCAGAGCAGGCTGTCTGGGTTCATATCGCAGCGGTGGTGCTCGGCCGGTCCATTCTCCTCCCACCGCTGGGTGAAAGTGAAGACGAGGAACTCTTTCGAAGGGACGTACTTGCTCATATAGACCATATCCACGCCTGTCAGAAAGTTAATGAGCAGACAATCCGGGCGAATCGAACACGTCGCTGGTATGGGCTTATCCAGTGGCCTGGACCGGGGTCGAGGTTTGACCGCGAGCAAGCCCTACGCTATGCGAAGTTCAGCATTGTGCTTGCCCAGTCTGGACGCTGGAAAGACGCGGAAATCCTACAGTTAGCTGTGAAGGATTATACGCATTGTCTCTTGGGTTTGGACCATCCCTCAACACGGCGAGTAACGCTGGCCTTAGCACAGAACTACTGGAATCAAGGGCGTGGGGACGAGGCTGCGCGATTGCAACAAACTGTCCTGCAGGCTTGTATTTCTTCGCTAGGTCCCAATGCTCATGAGACTCTTATGGCGAAGGATCTTTTGGGCCAGACAAGATGGCAAGAAGGGCGATACACCCATGCCAGAGCACTACAACAAGAAGCCGTTGACGGGTTAATAAAACTCAAGGGGATAGACAATGAAGATTCCCTAACGGCCATGGGCAGTCTCGGCCGTACCATGGCCAAATTCTATGAGAACCTAGATGAAGCCAAGTCACTACTCAAACGGGCATTCGATGGAATGAGCAAGGTACTTGGGCCAACTCATACAAAGACTTTACTCGTGCAAGAAGAACTCGCTCTTTTGGCGGTGCAAATGGGCGAAGAAGATCTATCCGAGCCTTTGCGCATGGTGCAACAAGTTCTCGAAACTCGAAGGGAAAAGCTAGGAAAAGAACACCCGTACACCCTTCTTGCCCTAGCGAGCTTAGCAAGAGTCACAAATGCTCTTGGTCAGCACACCAAGGCGGAAAACATCCTACGCAGCGGACTTTCTATTGCAGAGCGCAACCTCGGCGACAGCCACATAGGGACCCTTATGGGAAAAGTCTTACTAGGAACAATCCTTGTCAACCAATCTAGATTTGCCGAGGCTGCTTCAACACTCCTCGATGCAATGGAAAGGCTACGGCATCTTACTTCCTACAGGGGAGACTTTCATCCAGATCGGCTGGGTGCCATGATTGAGCTTTCGAGGTGCTATAAACTTCAGGGAAGGTTTGATGAGAGTGTTCGATACTGCGACGAGGCTATTGAGGGGTTGCAAAAGATTAGTGTGACGCAGCACCCATTGGAGAGAAAGTTGTGGGCCCAGAAAGCAGAGATTATCGCAATGAGAGAGCCGGAAGGTCACCGTTGATCCTAATTGTCATCTGTTGGGACATATATTTCTCCGTCGCCTGGCTAGCTGGGCGCGATACATCGCTTTTATTCTAGCGGTTAGTGCTTCAACATTATCTTCTTTCCCTCGATACGGGTGAGCTTCATACAAGAGAAATTTTGTGATCCCAACACTATGAAATTTTGATTTGACCCGTTGTATGATCATGACCTACGTGGCCTGTTTGGGATCGAGAATGTTGATTTGAACGGTCGTGATCTCACGCGCAACTCAACGCCTAGCCCATCTTCCACTCACAGATACCACAAGTTTTTAGCAGAGAACCTGTAGATAGCTGTGCTACAGTGAGTTAAATCTCATCGCGTGGCTGTCTTCTGTCCTCCCAGGGATGAGCTCGATGCCCCTCCCATATTGTAAGCTGCTATTTTATGCCGTACCCAAGCAGCTTGTGCCGTTCTTTTCCGTATATGTTCTCTCTGATCTTAAATCCCACATAGATATGTAGCGAGAATTTGTCTATTCGCATAATCGTTTGAATGTTTCTTCTAGCAGCCGCAGTAATTAATGTGGAGTGACTGCAGCAGTGTCCTGTGCATGACGTCCGAGGTCAACCTAGTTAATACCGGAGATAAGCAATATGAGAAGAGGCGAGTCTAATCTCAAAATAGCCGTTTAATCCTCGAGTATAGCCCGGGCTTTAGGACCCACTGCTAGGATTGCTTAGCTCCGCGCCACAGCCCCTAACAGTATGCACCTTCCTAAGTGCCACGAGTGCATTTGCTCCAGCGCAAATCTAGCAGGAGATCTTCCTGTGCAGATAAATATGACAGGTGTTTGGAACCATCAGACAATAGATAGTTCTACGCTTGTTACTTGGCTGAAATCACAGTTAGTCTGTATTTACAGCTCGCCGAGGAAAGGCGGGTCCCATCGAGGCCAAGCTATGAAAGGAAAAGCTTGGTGAACCGAACGCCTCTGGCACTAAAATACAAAGTGGGAACGCTTTTGTGCTTTGAAATTACCCAGAACATATATTGTAGAAAGCCACTATTGGCATACTAGTTCGTTCCTGACTGTGCCCTTCGGTGGTCCGGCGGCTGTTGTCGGAGAACATGACGCCGCAGGGACCGGCCGCTCCACCATCTTCAGGGACGATATAATGGTACATGGTAATCCGGTCACGAGTATTCTATTCCATATCACCCAATATTATAGATGCAAAATGCGCGGGCCTGGGACTATGCAAGCTGTCCTGTGCAGCCTGGCCTTCATGGCTGGAGTTGCGGCCGAGGAAGATCCGGACTATGACCCATCCTTAAACTTTCGATCAAATAGTGTGACCTTCAGCATCCTCGACTTCTGGGTAGGATCGTAAGTTGTTAGATGGCACTAAGGTGTTGCATCGATGCTGACTGCGCAGATACTATAACGGTCCCACAAACGTGGAATTCGTTTTACACTGGGCTGGCTTCGAATTGGAGTTTCCATTGCCCCAATCTCGTCAACACAACGGTTACCAAACAGTATAATTCCACTGTGCTGGCCCTTACAGAGCCCAGCACCTATAATGTTGGCAGTGAATGCTTTCTTCACCATGTGGCCCAACAACTTCAATTTCTCCAGATTACCTGGTCCAAGCTGGGATGGATTACAAGAAGACGCTTCGTTGAAGTTCGCTATGTTTTCGTCGGAGTGAGGTGATCCCACCAGAATCAGAAGAATCTCAGCTGACACTCCCTAGTCCTAACTACCAGGTGGACGGCAAGGCGGTTAACAACTTCAACTGGACACTCAATCCAACCCAAGGCCCACCGTACAGTTTATCAAGCACCCTCACAGAGTATGACCCACAAGGGGGCGGGGGCTCCAACTTGGCCAGTTGCAACGGAAGTGACCCCATGGAGTGGAACTTATTTCCGGCTCCCTGGACTGTCAATGGAAATGGACTTTACCTGCCTGATCCGGTGCTGGATCTTCAATTTGATGGGAAAACCGCTAACCTCTCCTTGAATGGCTATTTCATCGGCTATGACACGGTTAAGGAAGGTACAATGACTTCTACTGATGGGATGCTTGTAGTAGGAGGGATTAAAGTATCCTTTTTGGGCGTCCTTGATGCCTATCATTCAGATGTCCTAGCCAACAACACTGCTACACCGACTTGGCTGCGCACTGTGGGATTTCAAAATAATTCCTTGAATGTTGGGTACACCAGCACAGCAAGCAATGTATCAAGGGGAAAATTGGTATTGGCTACTACGGTTGCCCTGACAGTTATAATAGGATTTGTCTAGACGGAAGCTATCGCTCTGGCAGATTCGTCGCGGCTACAGAGGTGCTTAAGCATGCACGGCAGTGGGAGGATATTCTTTTCTGTATGGATGGATCTGGCTTAAATGGTATCAATGACTTCGCGATAAATATGTAAATGTTAACTTCAATCGAGTCATTGAGCGTAAGTGTCAGCTCAGGTGCGGGTGTTCTCGCTTTAGATGACTGCATAGAAGACAAGATACTGCAGCCATACGCCTATCTCGAATAGCCAAGTATCTATATAGCTAGCATGTCATACAATTGGCTCAACTGAATCACATACCGTGAAACGGCATTGGGTCGAAAGGGCAGTAAATCACCTCACAATATTGGATCTTCCTATCTGAGACGAATGTGAGTTTAGGTAGTACCTGGCTCCTCTCCCTTATATTTCTTATCTTTCCCTCTGTTCCTCTAGTCAGCAGTTTTCTGGATGCGTAGTCCGAGGTCAATATGGGAAATGTCGGAGATAAGTAACTGTTGCGTATTAGTTCCAGGGTCCGGCTGTGCCCGGGCTCGTGGGCCCCACTGCTAGGACTGTCTAGCCCAGCGCCACAGCCCCTATTGATGCTATACGGGCATTGTATGGCATGGTAAATCAAAGTGAATTTCAAGAATTCTAATATAAAGCGGGCAGCTCCTTATATTGGATGAAATATTAATGGCTCTAGTGCCAAATAAGCACTTTGGTTCGGTCCTACTGTACCATTCGGTGGCCCGGCGGCTAATCATCGGAGAAAGTTTGATCGCACATCACTTCAGACTTATTCTAAGTGCTCATTTGATAGCCTGGTCGAGGATTATGTGAGAAGCCTCGGCAGGTAAGCACATCACCTGACCTCCTGTCTTTGTAGTCTTGTTCTACACTTCACCTCCTCAATTTATTATTCTTATTAGACTTGACGCGCTGGCTGCATCAAACCATCAACAATCCCATGTTCATGACTTGCTGCTCTGGGTATCTGGCCCAATGAGAGAATTGTAGCCACGGCACAATGCTAAATTCGCAGCTCGGGAATCCAGTCGCTCCACTGTTGCAACCACACCTTCATCAACGATGCGTCCACCGGACCCAACGTACGCAAAGCTGCACTATGCTTCTGAGCGTTGGTGGTATCCGCAGGAGGACGTATCCAATCACCAGAATCCGCCAGTGACCTGAAAAAGCCTAAGAGCGACGCCGCAGGGATTTCCCGCAAAGCCTCCTCATTGAGTTTCGGGTCAGATACACGGTTAGTCAGGTTCTGCACCCATTCCTTGAGCGGAATAATCTTGGAGGAACAGGCTTCGCTTATGATCTTTGCCAATGGCCCCCAGTTACTAAGCTGTGGGTTTGTAATATGATAGACCTCTGCGTTGTTCGACCCGGTGGAAGCCAACTGATCATTATGTCCCCCGCAGGCGATCTGAACAATACTTCGAGCAGCGATATCCTACGAAGTCAGTACACTACGGCTTTATCAAAGAACCATCTCGAGTAGTTCACTTACAATGGGCACCCAATCCACTGGCATTGACCCAATGCTGTCAGGCAATTCTTTCATCGTCTGAGATGTTCGTACCAGTGCCGGAAACCAGTCTCGTGTCGTCCACATACCTGCCTCAGCATCTATGGGCCCTCCCAGTTGACCAACACGGTGAACAGCAATTTTCTGTTTAGTGTCCTTCGCGACGAGGTCACAGAGAACTTCTGCTGCGTATTTCGATTCTGCATAGCCTTGACTGAGCACTGTTGACGGCCCATGCAGTGTTTCTGCAATGTGATCAGTTTCAGGCACAATGGTAGGGCGACCACTAACGGCCGCGATGGAAGAAATGAAATGGAATGCGGCCTGGCGAGGTGAGCCCTTGATTAAGTTGAGAAGCCGTCCCGTCCCTTCCAGCTGAGAACGGAAACTGGACAGTGGCAGATTGAAATTCACCATCCAAGCATTATGGAATACAATATCCACTCGCTCTCGCAAGTAACTGTATTCATCCGCAGTTAGCCCGAGTCTCTCTTGGCTCAAGTCAGCCTGCCAGAACTTGACTCGAGAAGTATCCACAAGCCAGCCATCAGCTAACCGCTTCTCACGAAATCTAGCGAGCTGTCGGCTTTCCGCATCTTCCGAACGATTGAGGCAATATACCTGTGCAATAGTCGGATCCTGCAGCAGCTCCTCTAGAAGATAGCTGCCAAGCTCGCCAGTCGAACCAGTCAGAAGGACCGTCTTTCCGCTAAGCTGGAGGTTCTGTGCCTGCTGCCAGATTGCATGCGTCAATTGATGCTCTTGTGGCCAGAAGCTCGATGTGTGCTTCTCGCCTTCCGCTTCAAGATGACCATGTAGTTGTTGGAAAAGCGTACTTGCGAGACGCCGGACCGTGGCTTGCTCATAGATGACGGCACTGGTCCACAAGGCAGCTATTTGCTTAGATTGACGCATGCGATCGGCCGCATCTTGCAGTGCCTGCGCGAGTCGAACTACCTGAAGAGAATCCATCCCTAGAGTGACAATATCGGCATCTAGATCCACAGAGATCCCACCCAAGATCCGAGAAACAGCCTCTTGTAGCCACAGCTCGATGCCTTCCATAGTCGTCTCTTGCAGTTTTTCCACGTCATTAATAGAGCCTTCGTTACCTGTTGCATAACTGTATAATTTATTGATAACATCCTCATAGAGCTGAGCCGTTTCTCGCCGGCGAAGTGACCCCTTGGGGGCCAGCGCAAATGGCCGATCGCGAGAAGCAACAGCGATACGGTTGTGATGGATTTGTCCATGGGCAGGCAACAAGCCGTTGGCATCTCTCACGAGGGGCTCCAGAGCCTGCTTCAGCCATTGTGGGGTCCATGTCTCCGGGAGCTCATCCCATAGAGGTTGAACTAGCAAGGCCACTTGGAATCGATTCTGGCCGAAAATAGCAGCACGATGAACCAAGGAATGGGATTCAAGGAGGTGCTCGGCATCAATAGGGTTCAGCTTTTCGCCGTTGTTTAGAACGATTATGTCATCTGCCCTTCCCTTTGATCGCCACAGGTGCGGTTTTGTTGGATGAGGTTCAAAAAGATCACCCGTTCGATATTCGCTAAGATTTGGAAAGGCGTGAAAAATGGCATGATACCGACGGGAGGAAGGTCGAGGGATAACTAACTCCCACAGTCCATCACCGACTTCCTCCATGCGATGTTCGAAGGCGGGATTCCATTCGAAACAATCCCAGTCCGCGGGGTCTTCACACAGAAGTGTCGGTGTGTAACCGGTCTCACTGCTACCCATCAACGTTTGCAGGCGAAAGTGGGAAGAAATTGCGTTTCCCGTGGCGCTTGACAGTGGTGCACCGCCGAAGTTCACTGCCGAAAAGCCCTGCATCGCCTGTCGCCCCTTCTCAGATGACCAAAGATCCTGCAACGCAAACGGAGCGATTAGACACCATCGAGGTGGATTGGGAGTTGCCATAATCCGCGAGAAGAGATCTGGGGTCAAAGGTCGATCCGGGGATAGTAGAAAAGGTGTCTCGTAAAATATGCACTCAAAAACGCATACTATTCCAATAAAGTGGAATAATGGTCCGTGGCAGAATCGCATCTCACCCTTGTGTCGCAGAAACAACTGGGCGGTTTCACGATTCTGAGGCACGGGAAGCGTTTGCATCTGATCCATCGTTGCCAGATATCCATGGGTCAGAGTTACCGGTTTGGGAAGACCCGTAGTCCCCGAGCTGTGGATGATGATAGCTGGGCGGTCTTCTATGTCTGCAAAATTCTCTTGGTGGGGATACGGCTCGACAGGAGATGCTGCGAAGACATCCCAGACGGGATCCATACGCCATCGTTCCAACCCGAGATCAGAGCAAGCGACTTCAACCTGGTCAACAACTTTCTTTAGCTGGGGTCGCTCGCTACCGTCCACAAGCACCGAGCAATCCGTCTTCGACAGCAAATGATGAAAGGCTGCCTGTGAGTTGCGAGTGGATAGAAGTAGCGCCTAAGCCAATCAGTCAGAAATAAGCATCGATATTGTGGGGCAGGAACCTCCAGCCAGGAATGTGAGATGGCCATACCGCATGGCCTGTCTTCATGCAAGCTAGCTCAAAAACCAAGTATCGCAAGTCATTCGTTCCAATATAGGCAAGAATCTGCTGCTTTTTTCCGGGGAGCCTGCTGTCAATCCACCACGCTACACGGTTCACAGCAGCAGACACCTGCTGGAACGTTATACAACGCCATTCACAATCCGCCTCCTGGGAGCTGGGGTGCAGACAGTACAAGCGATCAGGCTGATCCTTCGCTTGCTGGTCTAGCAGCTGCGTCAAAAGCCGTCCTGAAACATCAGCGGACCCCATATTGCACTCAACACTCGATCCTATATTGCTGGTAGTGCGGTCGTTGTGAGAGAGAATCTTAGGCTTCTTTATACATTTGAACACCCCACTCCATCATTCCGGAGAAGGAGACCATAGGTACGTAAGTTACATAACCCGTGGTATAGGCTTGACGATCACAAAGTCCAGATGGCGGCAGCCTACATCCCTTGCTGTACGAGAAACGTTCTTTCTACGATCTGCCAATCATCCCTATCCTTTAGTCACAGTGATGATCCTTCAGACCTGCATATGAGAGGTATGCCTGACGTCAAGACTTTCCTTTCTCGAGTTCTTGCGACTTGCTCCAGGCTTCTATAACAGGCAACGCTGGCGTAGCATACATGCACGCAAGTTGGTGTCACTATGGCAACTTTGAAGAGCCCAATGGTAAAAACATGACGAACTACGACTAGAACTCATATGATTACGTCACCAGAATAGTAGCGTAATCGCATCTCGATCATTCTCATGCGTGTACAAGGCGGCAGATAGATGGGCGAATCATGCATTAGTGTGTTGATAACTGGCTCTGCGCTACAACCCATTCCATGGCAGACAGCATTTGCTTTATCTCTGGCCCTGATCGCGGGATGTTATGACCAGCCGAATGTTTGATTGACTTCTGAGTTTTGGAGTCGCAGAGAGACTCGACGAGGAAGCCACAATCATCCAACCCCGGTATATCTTCCTTCCCACGCAGGTGGACAGACGGAAGTGTTATACGTGTTGGTATCACATCTGGATGCAGGGCACATGGGACGAGATCAAGCGGGCGATCGAGGAAAAATGATACCGGCTCGCGTGTCATAGGCTTGGTTCCCTTAATCACCTTCACAAAACTCTCAACCACAGAACGAACTGGTTCCGGAAGTTGCGCAATCTGTTCGTCCTGCCCAGAGCGGAGACGTTGCTGATCGGCTGTTGAAAGAGAACCGATAACAGACTGACAATAAACTTCATCCGCAGCGCATGGAATCGTTGGCGAATAGAATATTGCGAAGCGAAAAGGCAGGGGCTCATCTGGATACGCCGTTTTATGCTCGAGCAGGAACGAAATCGAGATTGCAGCGCCTTGACTGAATCCCAAGACCCCGTCAAAAGGACCATGCTCGTCAATGGCCTCTTCGATCATGGCATGGGCTGCATCGATTTCCCCTGCATCAAACGATCGCGCCCAGCAGTAGTACGGAGGTGGGAAGGTGCTCCCAATGCCTAATTTCAGTTGGTGAAGCTCATTGTTAGCAAGTAGTGGCGTGCGTTAAATGACCGACAACCATACCTGGCGCAGGCGGGCATTCAACTTCAGCTGAGAGAAAATGAAACTCCCAGCTCGGGTCAGCATCTCGCATCAGCCCCGAAAGTTGATATCGCAGAATATCCGGCCCCGTGCCGTAGCCATGAAGGCAAAGGATTTTCATTCTGTTTGCTGCTTTTGGCTTGGTATTCTCACAGTATAGGATGCGGTTGGATACGGTTGGACAAAGCCCAGTAAGGCTGTTTCGAGTCGCATCATGCCGTTCGCCCTACCAATGGACTTTAAATGGCTCCAAGCAACCAGTACAATGGCAGAAACCAGCATCCATAGTAAGCTATCTTACCTATCAAAGATGTCCTTGCAGAGGCTGACGTTATCTATGATGTGGGTAGCGGGGTCGGCAGGGAGATGCGTGATCCACTTTCATCCGAGGTATGCAGGATTCCCATACTGTTCACAAGTAATAGGCAATCCATACTTGGAGGAAGTTAACAGCGATGCTGATTATCGTTTCACGACGCCATAAGGTGACACGAACGTTGTCGATCCCAGCGGTATGACTTGAACCCACCACGTAAAATATCGACTAAATTAGTGGCATTCCCCACGACCTACTGATGATGGTAAAGGCCGAGGCAAGTGATCCGGTATGTTATCACTAGACGAACTTTATCTCGCTGTTCTGCGCGAATTCTAGGATGTTGCCGGTACAGGAAGCCAATGCATCGATCCAAATAAGTTCAATCATCTTCCTGATAAGGGCGCTCACGGGTACTTGGCCCTTGCGCGCGGTCTCCACTTGTTGGAATTCTGATGAAAAGCTCCGGTGGCTCTTATTGGTCCATTGTCCGTATAGTCTACTAAGCATCGCTATTTATCCAAGGAAATTGCGGTATGTCCATCTACATGACGATCGTGAAAGACATGGACGCAGGTGAACATCGGGAAATACTATTCCTGTCTGATGGACGGACCCGCTGTTGTCCTTCTGCACGGCTTGATCCATTCCTCAACCCCCCTTGTACAACATCAATCACTAAAATGGCAGGTGGTTGACCTCATGGCTTAACAAAAGTTTCCAGCCTCGCAGTTTCAAGCAGTTTCATCGACCTTATACACCAGCTTTGAGGCCCGCACCTTGCCTTGCCGCAGCAAATCCAACCCCGAAGCAATCCCGGCTAGGCCTCCTGGCTTGACCTGGAACCGTTGGTAGGTGACCTGACGGCTCTGCAAAAGGACTTCGACGGTATTCGCCCATTGCGCTCCAAATGAGAGATTTTCTGGCTGGGCCTGGACTTCTTTGCCTCCCATCACATATGGCTCTCCAATCATATCGTATGCCATGGAAACATGCGTATCGACACCGCCTCGCGGGCATCGTACGTCTAGCAGTGCATTGTAACAGCCCCCGGAGGATGAAATGGCAGCGGCACAGATAGCAGCCGTTTGGTTAGTGGAAATTGTATCGAAAGCTAGCTCGAGGGTATCATCGGTAAACTCACGGATCCGGTCACCTACGTGAGGATCGTGATAGTCAAAGACGGCATCCGCACCCATTTCATGCATCCAGGCACGATTAACTTCTGAGCACGTTGTGACGACGCGCAGCCCAGATAGCTTTGCAAATTGGATCGCGAGGGAACCTGTTGACGTTGCACCACCGTAGATCAGGATGCTAGGGATGTCCTCATCATTTCCCTTCTCGTCTCTCTGCATATCCGCTATCTCATCATCACATGCCATTCCAGGGCCAGGGAGCTGCATGGACTGATAAAGATTCTGGCCGATAGTCATCATGCCAACACCCAAGCAAGCGGCTCCGTCAATGCTCATCCATTCCGGCACCCTGAATTGTATGTCCCCTTTCGCGATGACATACTGCGCAAATGCACCTCCATGAGGCTGCTTCACGTTACACCCGTGGACAAAGCCGGCAACGCGGTCCCCTTTCTTCCAAGGCTTCCTGACTCGTGGCCCGATAGCCTCCACGACACCGGCGTAGTCACAGCCGACGATGGTCCCTGTGCAGGTGTCGAAGTCAACGTGCTTCCAGTCCGTTGGGTTCAAAGCCACTATATTCACTTCGTTAACAACTTGCGCCCGGGTACATGAGATCAAAACTACACTTACCTGCTTGTGTCTTCACCAGGATATAATCATCAGGCAAAGCGGGTATCGGCACATCATCGGCCAAAGTAACTTGACCGCGCTCTCGGACAATGACAGCGCGCTGAACGGCCATGGTAATTGATCCTGAAGGGCGTCCACTGGTAATGGCAAACTCAAATCGTAACGCAAGAGCGGCTTGGAATGGATTCGAGACCCTGATTTAGATTCGAGAACTATCAAGTGAGCATATCAGCCTACAGTCTTATCCCTTCTATATAGCAACCAATTCCATGGATCTTCTTGGCCCGATAAGGAAGTCCCCTACCAAGAAATCCACACAATAACGATGACTGTGCCCTGCCTTGATGGAGTAACGAAGATCAAACATAGTTTATGACCTAAAGGATGAATACAGGGCTATAGCTAGCAGTCCTTGCGTCATTTGCCGTTCAGTTACCTTTCTTGGGATCTTGCATTACATGCCTGAATGTTTCTAGATTCCGCGGCCATCCTAACAGCAGCTAGCCATAACGTCACATTTCGAAGCCAAATTTGAGGATGAAGTATATCACGAATCAGATCAATGAATAATCGAGCTGATAGTCGAAGGCTAAGCTGTTAAAAGGAAGGCCGGGAGACCATATTGACTCACTTGAGGTCAGATTGAAGAAACCATCTTGAACATCAGCCACAATGGAAGAGCAAGCCAAAGATACATCTAGCCCAGAGCCAATTGCAATCATTGGCATGGGATGTCGTTTTGCCGGCGAAGCATCGTCTGTTGAAGGATTCTGGGACATGCTTCGCCTAGGTCGAAAGGAGCATGGGCGTGTTCCTGCTAGTCGTTATCAAGCCTCAGCCTGGGAACATCCCAGTCACGAGCGCAAAGGGGCTGTATGTTCACCAATTATGACAACCGATTACTGCTGGACTTAGTCACGGACTTACAATCCATCATTAGATCAATCACGATAGCGGCTTCTTTCTAGCCGAGGATCCATCCCGCTTCGATGCACCCTTCTTTTCCATCACGTCCAAGGAAGCTGCAGGCATGGATCCTGTTCAGCGCATCCTGCTCGAAGTGGCGTATGAAGCTTTTGAGAATGGTAACTAGATCCTTAACAAAGTCTGAGGAAATGATTAACTGAAATATGACCCCAGGAGGCGTGCCGATGGAATCACTACCCGGTAGTACTACCGGTGTCTATAGCGGATGCATGACCAATGACTACGAGCTGCTGTCAACTCGGGATATCATGGATATGCCACACAACTCGGCCACGGGTAATGGGAGAACTATGTTGGCTAACCGCCTTTCATGGTTCTTTGATCTTCGTGGTCCCAGCATCATGCTGGACACGGCCTGTTCGTCCAGCTTGACGGCGCTGCATCTGGCTACCCAGGCACTACGGGCAGGCGAATGTAGCCAGGTAAGAGAGCCTTCATATATGATCCGAGGATAATAACCGATTATTGTAGGCGCTGGTCACCGGAGCAAGTCTGATATTGCATCCGAATTTTACCCAGCGGCTGTCGTACATGCATATGCTCAGTGCCGATGGTATCAGTCACTCTTTTGATAGTAAAGCTAATGGGTATGGTAGGGGTGAGGGATTCGGTGCAATCTTGCTGAAACCCTTGTCCAAGGCCATGGCAGACGGTGACGCGATCAGAGCAATCGTTCGTGCTACTGGCTCTAATCAGGATGGACGTACTCCGGGAATCACCATGCCGAATCCAACCGCCCAGGCTGATTTGATCAGATCAACCTATTCTCAAGCTCAATTATCGATGGGAGATACGTCTTATTTTGAAGCCCATGGAACTGGGACAGCAATTGGTGTTAGTATGAAGTTCAATGTTGCGAAAAAGGTACTAAAAGCGTCATTAGGATCCTACTGAATTATCTGCCATCGGAGCAAGCTTTGGTGCCGAACGAAAGCCAGGCGATGAGCCTGTTTACGTCGGATCTGTCAAAAGCAACCTAGGACATACCGAGGGTGCTGCCGGCGTAGCCAGCATTATCAAGGTGGTTCTTTGCTTAGAAAAGGGGATGCTCGTTCCTAACGCAGGCTTCTCGAACTTGAACCCTAAGATCCGACTGGAGGAATGGAGCTTGCGCTTAAGCAACACCACCGCACCGTGGCCACCTCATCTGCCGCAACGTGCAAGCATCAACTCTTTTGGCTTTGGGGGTGCAAACGCTCATGCTATTCTTGAGAGCACAGCGCAGTACCTTGGTAAGGCGCAAACTTCGTCCGACACCACAGAAGGGATAACCCAAGTCGTTGTGGTCTCTACGCATGACCAATCTGGGTTAGACCGTACGGCGGACAAGTGGAAGAACTTCCTCGATTCAACCGCATATGGCAAAAGAAAAGGCATTTCATTGCCAAATGTTGGGACACATATCTCTCCGTCGCCTGGCTAGAACCACGCGATATATCGTTTTTGGTCTAGCGGTTAGTGCTTCGACACCAAATGTAGCACATACTATGGCTACACGGCGATCCCAGCTCCCGTTTCGCAGCTTCGCCGTGGTTGATTCGCTAGCAGAGCTACAAGATGTGATGGCCGCGGGCTTGCCTACTTTCCCTCGAGCCAGCCGTAAGAACCAGACGCACCTCGCGTTCGTTTTCACGGGTCAAGGTGCCCAGTGGCCACGTATGGGTGTCCAGCTATTAGCAAACCCAGTGTTTGCGGCCAGTATAGAACGCAGTCAGCAGGTGCTGCGGAGTTTTGACTGCCCGTGGGATTTACTCGCGGAGATCCGTGCGGATTCAACGACTAGCCGCATCAATCGACCAGATCGCAGTCAGCCCTCTTGTTGCGCTTTACAGATTGCCCTGGTAGACATGCTTCGCAGCTGGGGCGTGACTCCTAAGGCAGTGGTAGGCCATTCCAGTGGTGAAGTTGGTATGTCTCTCTCACTTTGTCCGGTTGCTCTCCACGAGATGACTTACCTGTGCTCTAGGGGCTGCCTATGCGGCCGGCTACTTGACCCACGAGGATGCCATTCGTGTCACGTATTTCCGCGGTGTGCTATCACAACGGATTGCTGAAAGTGGGAGCCGCGGTGGTATGCTCGCTGCTGGTATTTCTGCCGCTGATGTGCAGGGATATTTGCAGACCCTACCCCCGGAGTCCGTGGTAATAGCTTGTGTGAACAGCCCATCGAGTGTCACTCTTTCCGGCAACATTGACGAAATAAATCTGCTTGAGGGGCGTTTGCAAGCAGACAGTCGTTTTGCGCGCAAGCTGCGCGTAGACACTGCCTACCACTCACCGCACATGAGAGTGTTGGCTGATGACTATAAAGCAGCCATTGAATCTATTCAGCCGACCGACAGGTACAATGGATCCATAGCTATGTTCTCGTCTGTCAACAAAGAGCTCTTGCAGCCAGCAGATCTAGACGCGGCATACTGGGTGCGCAACCTGGTCAGCCCAGTTGAGTTTGCTGCGGCAGTCACCAAAATTGTTACCATGGCCGAGGTCGGTAAAGGACGAGGGAGACGGCGAGTAGTTCCAGTCAAGTGGGCAGGCTTCTTGGAAATTGGACCACATGAAGCTCTAAAGGGGCCGTTCAATCAGACCCTGCAGGAAGCCAATGCTGATTTGGCTTCCATTCCTTACAGAAGTCTAGTGCTGCGCAAGCAGAACTCTCGGCAAACCGCCCTTCAAGCTGCCGGTCTCTTGTGGTGCTTGGGCTATGCGATCGACCTAGATACAGCAAACCAAAGCTTTCTGGACGGCATAAGGCCACAAGTGAGCCGAGACCTTCCATCTTACGCATGGAACCATCAGTCCAGCTTCTGGCATGAGCCATTGGAGTCAGCCCGGCTGCGACAGCGCACAGAACCCCGTCACGACCTCCTCGGTATACCTTGGGACTACCAGAATGATCTGGAGCCGCGGTGGCGTAATTTCCTCCGGGTTTCGGAACTGCCCTGGCTTGCGGATCATGTGGTGGCTGGCTCTATAGTATATCCAGCAGCTGGCATGGTGTCCATGGTTGCAGAGGCAGCCCGTCAGCTTTCAGACACTACGAAGTGGTTAGAGGGGATTGAATTCCATGATCTTGACTTTTTCCGGGGAGTTGTAATTCCCCCAGACGAACGGGGTCTGGAAGTGGTTCTCCATGTGGCACCGCATCGCGGCATGAATGGATGGTATGAATTCGGCATTTTCTCCTTGCCTGAGAATTCATCCTGGGTCCAGCATGCGAAAGGGACCTTTGCTCCACAGTATGCTGATGAAGATGGGGTGGGATGTGCTGCAGACTGGCAGAGCACCGTACAACGAGTGCGACAGACGCAAGCTGTGGCAAAGAAGGCTGAGATCGAGGCCGTCTATGAATGGCTCTCAGAAACCGGGGGCGTCAAAGTCTGGGATCGACCTTCCGGTCTATAGCTGGCGTAGCCTTTGACTCAGGGTCTCGTCTGTACGTCACTGGAGTCGCACCAAATACCAAGCAGATGATGCCATATGAGCGTGAATCTCCATGCCTTATCCATCCCACCGCGCTGGATGCCCTCTTCCAGGCTGCCGTGTTGTCCTGCTCAGATGCCCTGACCAACCACAACGCGAATATTCCCGTGGGAGTAGAGCGTCTTTATCTCTCGACAGACTTCTCCTTGCAGGCTGGTGACCGATACGATGTGCATGTCGAGACACGCTACGAGAATGGTGTGTCACTTTCGGAATCGATCGCATCCAACCCATCCTGGCAGCAGCCGGGAGTGGTTCTGCAAGGGGTGCGATTAGGTCGCGTGCCTAAGCGGTCCGGTAACTCGACCAAAGAGGAAATCCAGCAAAGCCGGTTCTCGACGCTTCGATGGGCTGAGCATCTAGATTCTTTCTGTGGTCCAGAAGTCCGTCTATCTGGTGGACTGCAGAGCTGGATTGGCCGGGTCTGCCACACTCATGGGGATGCTCGCATCCTGGCGGTGACTACCAGAAGCACGGATCAGGTGCTTGAAGCTCTCGAGCCATATGCGCCGAAACGCAGTCATCGACCTCGACTACAACAGCTCACCATCGTTCTATCTGACCCAGACATTGCGGGATCAACTGACCAGGTCAAGGCCATTCAGGAATCTCTGGAAGGGTGTCAGGTCCTGCCAGTTGCGTCCCTGCAGGATCTAGACACGAAATTACTGGGAGAAGGCGCCTATGATGCGGTCATTGTTGATCATCCGAATGTCTGGAGAGGTAATACTGCCAAGGCCCTGCTCGACTCTTTGCTTCCTATTACTGGACCGGAATCTTGGATTGTCGCTCGAGCGACTGATGAAGAGCACGATGCAGTATTACGCAATGCAGGCCATGCAGACTGGGAAGTACAGAGCTTGATTGATGATACTGACTATCTTCTCCTTCGCCGTCAACATGCTCCGGTAAAGTTGGAGCCAACAGTCTACATCTTGAGCAGCGCAGCGAATGAGTCGGTTGGTCCTCTTTTGCATGAGCTGGATGGCGTCGTGGGCAACCTCGGCTCTAAGATTGAGCTGGTAGATATTGATAAGGCTTCAGAGCTGAAAGATAAAACCATCATATCACTGCTCGAGCTGCAGCGTCCGTGGATAACGAACTGGGCGTCAAATGAGATCTCACGCTTTCGGTCCTTGTTGGAAGCAAAGTGTCTCCTCTGGGTGTCGCAGTGCCCGGAGCACGAGGCATCTGGCTATGCAGGCTTCGGGGCTACGACGGGACTTTTGCGGACCGTACGCAATGAGAACGCCCGTATCATGCTGCCTCAATTGCTTGTTTCCGAAAAGGAGAATGATCCTCATATTCTGGCGCGCAAAATTGCACACGTGTTGCAGCTAACATTGCAGCCCCAATCACGGCCGCATGACTGGGAATTCTATGTGCAAGACAATCGTCTGCTTGTTCCGCGAACCGTCGCGACTGCTCCAGTGGATGAATGCATGGATACGCTCTTACATGGACCGCGTCCTATCATGGCAGAGCTCGCACAAGACTCGAGACCGCTGCAATTCTGTAATAAGTCGCAGGATATCAGTGATTTCCAGTGGGAGCTGGACGACCGGTTGAATACAGCTTTAGCCGATGATCTAGTTGAGGTTCAACTACACAAGATCTCCATCTGTGAGCCCACCGGCAAAGGTGGCATCTCCCCAGAGGCACGTACAGCGGCCATCGAAGCAGTCGGAGTGGTCCGCCAGGTTGGGGCATCTATCGGCTCAGCATTCCAAGTGGGAGATGAAGTCTTGTGTGCCATCCCCAGTGATGCGTGGTCCAGTGCTTTAGCCACCCATGCTCGCCTTCCAGCAAGTGCCATCTGGCATTCGCCATCACGTCAGGATCAGGCAAAGTCGGTTTCCATGCCAGTGGCGTTTGCAGCTGCCTATACCAGCCTGTTTGGCAGCTTCGGGGCTTCTGCTTCGTCGGTTCTCATAGTTGGTTCAAATAGCCAGACCTTGCGCGCCACAGTTGACTGTGCTCTGGCTGCTGGCATGCAGGTGTACGTGGCGGTCAATGGCGAGAATAATCTCAAGGAGATGCGCTCCAAGTTTGCTGGATTGCATGAAAGAATTATTCCCATTCATAGGGAGCTTGATACAACCGTCAAACGGCTGACTGGGGGCAAGGGGGTAGAGCTCAGCGTTTGCTGCCTGGGAGGTTCTGTCAGTCGACTTGCGGCGCGTTGCTTGTCTTACAGCGGCAGGCTGGTGGATCTTAGCGAGGAGCTGAACCTAGCTGCTCTACCTCAGACATTCGTTGACCGCGGATGCACTGTCAGCTCTGTAAGGTTATCGAGGATGCTCCGCGAAGCTCCCCGCCAGCTGCAGGCCAACTTCCATCGTGCAGTTGATCTTCTTGGATCAGACGCCCTCGCCAGGGTCCAATCTTATCCTTCCTTCCCGGTTTCCCGGGTCGCAGATGCTGTTGCGCATGCACGCGACAGCGGTACCCGTGTGGTTATCGATCTTCAGGCTCCAGGCAAGGTGCCAATTGTGCCAGCCCTCCCAGATCCTGCCCCTCTGCCTGCGGAAAATACCTACATTCTAGTCGGTGGGCTGGGCACTCTCGGGATTGCAATAGCCAATACGCTTGCCAACTGCGGCGCCCGTCATCTTGTCTTCTTGAGCCGCTCTGGGGCTGTTCGGGAGACACAGCAGATTACACTGAAAGAGCTTCAAGACCGAGGTGTGCAAACCGATATCGTGCAATGCAACGCTGCCAGCCGGGATGAGGTGCAAAGTCTGTTGACCCGAGCTGAAGAAAGTCGCTGGCGCATTCGTGGTATCGTGCAATGTGCAACTGTTCTCAAGGTAAGTCAGATCACAACCAACCATCTTTCCTCAAAAGCTAAGCTTCATCTTCTTAACAGGACGGTATGTTTGAGCATATGGATTTCGACGCGTGGAAGCAATCCACCGAGCCCAAGATCCAGGGGACATGGAACCTCCACGAGGCGTTCTCCTCCACCCCGCTAGACTTCTTCGTGACACTGTCATCAGTAGCCAGTATAACCGGAAACATGGGCCAGGCCAACTACGCAGCCGGAAACGGGTACATGGACGCGCTGATGACCTGGCGACGCAAACACCACCTACCAGGACACAGCATCAACATCGGCCTAGTCCCAGACGCCAGCGGACTGGGCGACGTAGCCGAAACACCCGAGCAGCGACGCCAGCGATACCGACACCTAGAGGGTACCGAGATACTGCAGCATGAGGTTCAAACTCTGCTTCGCGTGATCGTCCAGAAAGTCACCCCGGTCCCGGCACAAGTCATCGCGGGGCTAACGGACACGCTACCGCGCACCGACGGGGCAACTTCCTGGCAATTCGATCGCAAATTCGATCACCGCATTCAAGTTCTTGCTGATGAGGAGGCAGGAGCTGGTGTGGTCAAGACCAGCACGTTGCTGAAGAAGGCGGAGTCGGTGGATGAGGCGGTGCGCGTCGTGAATCAAGCACTGCAGGAGTATTTGGCCAGGGCGATGGCGTCGTCGGCGGAGGCTATCGATTTGGAGTTGCCTTTCTCGGCGTTGGGTGGTGAGTATCATACCTGTATATGTTTCGTTATAGGCTTTTACTGACGGTAGGGGTTTTAGTTGACTCGCTCAAAGCCGCGGAGGTTCAGAACTGGGTTAGTCCGAGATGGGCGCGGAGTTGTCCTCGTTTGAGTTTATTGGGGCACAGCCGGTGAGAGTGTTGGCAGAGAAGATTGCCACGCTGAGCTCGTTTGTTACTGTTACGTAGATTGCGTAGATTGGCTCCTTGTTCAATATTGAAGTTGCAGCAGGCTATATAGGATAGATTGTCAACATATGATTGCTATAAAACACCCCAATGAAACAGACTGCCGATTAGTATAACCGCTATATATATAAATCAAAGTCTATTGAAGCAAAATCCCAACAATCCACCATCTAATTATCCCCCAACATTGAACATCCTCGCAAACTGCGTAGCCGCGGCCCTGCGCTTATTCGCAATATCCAAGAACACATCCTTAGGCCCAATACCTCCCACGATGATTTCGTCCTTTCCTTCCACTAGACCCTGGAATGCCTCATCCGTGAATTTCTCCAGGAGCATACCGACTTTACGCCCTTCTTCACCCATGAAATCGTGGAGTTCGGCTGCAGGGATAGTCAGTCAAACAAATATATATTTTTAGACGAATAGATGAGGAAGACAGTAGAAGTACTACTATGAAATGGATATGGACAAACTCACATTGCACCGCCGGCGGCGACACCTCAATAACCTTCACTTCGGTCTTACGCAACTGATCCCGCAGACAGATAATGAAGGCGCCCAGGGCGGCCTTGGAGGAAGAGTATGCGGGCATCCAGGTTGCGGGGACGATGGCGATGTTGGATGTGGTGCTATACATGATGATCATTGATCAGTATATACTGTCATCTCTGATAGTATATATATATATATATTTGGATATTGTGGAATGGCACGCACTAAATCAAGCTTGTATCTCCCCCTTTCCTGGTAAGATATGGCAAAAAGGCATGCGTCAACGCAACATAACTGGTAAAGTTTACGTGCATTTGCTTGTTGAAGCTGGATAGGTCGAATTTCTCGGGGTCGGTCATGTCGGTGGGGAGCATGATGCCGGCGTTGAGGAAGATGCTGTCGATTGTGGGGGATTTGGTCATCAGCCTATCATGAGAATAACTTTAGTATTCATTGTTGGTTGTAGATGTAGATAAAGTATCTGTAGTAGGCACTTACTCAGCAGCAAACCCAGGAATCTTATCCAAATCACTGATATCAAACTGCACCGCATTGGCCTTGTCTTCGCCGTGCTCTTGCACGAACTCGTCGAGGCGCTCTTTGCGTCGTCCGACGACTGTGACTTTGGCTCCGGATTGCACGAAGCGTGATGCGAGAGCTCGTCCGATGCCAGCAGTGGCGCCGATGATGAGGATGTGCTTGTATGGGAAGGACATTGTGCTTTGGGTAGTTGCTCTGGATTGAGTTGATTTGTGGTTAAACTTGTATTGGATATGTTGAACTGCATCATTATAGCTCTTATATACTTCAGCAGATCGAGTAGTAGTGATTGGTAGAACCGGACAGCGGAGTCGGTGGGCCGAAGCTCGATCTCCGGGGATTTAGATTAGAGTGTATGTGTGGCTGTCGGCCTCCGAACTTAAAGCCGGGATGGACGGACTTCCTCGGATTTATGGATAGCTTCATCTGGAAGAGGTCGGAGATCGAGTATTAACTTGTATGATATTGAGGATATACGACTTTACGGGTTTATGCTGTTAGTCTAGTTTGTGCATGTTGTGCGCAAGATGTGATCACTGCTACTGTCAACACCATTAATTTGTATACAGAACTGCAGTTATACTTCCAGTAGCCCTACGCCGAGACTCAGTTATAGAATGTTCATCCCAGCACACTCTACATTACTTGAGACCTCTGCCTCACTCTAAGTCTTGTAAAATGCTCAATCTCACACATCTACTAACACAACACATTACCCCTGTAGCCAAACCCCTTTTCTAAGAAACAGTAGCCATCACGTGGCGTAGTGCCAGCTGCGTGAATAAAAAATCCACTGATGTCCCAGAAGAGGCAACGCGTCTCGCTTGTCAACGCGTTGTATACAACAGGTAGTGAGGGCCTTATCTTTCTCGCACAAACACAGCACCTTCTACCTCTTCATCATCATCTTCTTCTACAAGGTGAAATCGCTGATTATCTCATCTTTCATCTCATTTCTCATCTCGCTTTCTGCATACACTTCCATCATAAACTATCTCCCTATCCATCATTGGCATACAGATAGTCAATCATCATGGATAGTGCATTCCCTCAGCGTCCCTCCTTCGTGAAATACGGCCCATACACCTACGATGACTATGGAGTCACCGTAGCCAGTATTCCCAGAGCCTCATCTCTGATTCTGGACACGCTGTTCCCCGTGAAACCGGTCACTGCACCCAGCAGACGGCCTGTGAAGCGTTGGATAGCTGCCCAGCTTCAGCATTTCGGCATCCCCTATGAGCCTTCTAATACTGTTGCTCAGCTGTTGGCTCTGCTCGAGAAAGAATACAGAGACGGACACGTATACACTCCCCTTCATCTTCATCCTCAATCCTTAAAAACAAAAGCTGACCAAAGACGAACCAGTGCAAGTATGACTCGCCTTCGGTCCTCCTCCTCGAGAAAACCCTGTACGACATGTACCAAGCCGTGCAGGAGGACTATCAGCAGCAAAAGGCTGACTGGCGGGTGAAGAAGTTCGCTCGTCAGGTCACTCCCTCCGACGAAGCTCTGTTCGACCCTTCTCTCTTCATGGCCAAGTACTTCCTCGACAGGGAAGACAGCGTGCCCGACAAGAGCAAGCAGTCAAAGGCCATTGTCCTGCACAATGTGTACAACCAGCAGTTCGTGAGCATTGCTCTTTCCATCCCCGGTCTGAGCTTCCAGATCAGTCACCCGGCCACCGTCATCGGATGGGCAGACTCCTTCGAAGAAGGCTTGGATGCAGGCTTCGCCAGTCTGGCAGTCAACCACATCAAGGAATATGTGCCGACCTTCGAAGCGAACTTTGACCACCGCCGCTTCCTGAAGAAGTACTTCCTCTCGCTTGACTACCCCTTTGAGATGGGTGTCCCCGCTCATGACAGAACCCTGGAGCCCGTGCAGCTCATGCCACAGCTGTATTTCGACGTGCGTGAGAAACTCAGAAAAGCCGTGGCCAATATCAACGGCCTCTTGATTGCCACTACCCCGGGCCGCGGCGGTACCTGGACACTTCTGACCTGGAGCGAGCACGCCGAGAAACTCACCGGTGTAGTCGCCAAGATCCACGCCGCCGGTATGAACGAGAAGTTGTACGACGATACTATCATCGCTCAGGTGTGGCAGACCAAGCTCAGTCGCCACAACCTGTTCAAGCAGCTCGTGAACCCCAATAACATCACTCCATTGAGATTGGGCAACCTCCAAGGCCAATATGTCATCCGCTGCAACGTCATCGACCCCTGGGGCTACGAGGACTTCTCTCTCGACATCAACGCACCCCGTCGCAACGATCCCGCCGCGCGCGCCACCTTCTCTCTCGGAAAACTGCAGGGAGCTATGATCCTCGCTCTGGACTGCGAAAAAGTCGACCAGATGCGCAAAATGCTGGACAAGAAAAGCACTACCCAGAATCACACTCCTGAGTCCGATGATGACGATGATTGGGAGAAGGTCCCGCACCTGACCGTCCACCGATTCAGAAACGACAATGTCAAGTGGCGCGTCTACCTCCAGTACGCTGGTACCTGCAACGGTCTGAACCAGGTCGACGAACACAACGAGCAGGTCGGATACATTGACTTCAACGTCGACCCTGAGCGAAGCGACGACGATGAGAAAGCCGTGGGATATGGTCTTGCCTACGGCCGCGGTTATATCGTTGGTCCGAAGTATATGACTTCGCGCAGGAGTGAGAAGGGCGAGATGCTCCCCATTGAGGTCTTCAAGTGGACTGGCGAAACCGTGAGAGTGGCGGCCCCTTGGAATGCCTTCAACTTCTGGGGTGGATTTGAGGCTCGCTTCAGAGTTTGTGAGAGAGCTATGACTATGACCAAGGGGTATGAGCTTTAGCTGCCTCTTTCTATCTTTCTCTCCCATTGTGATGGTGATGATGTGAGATCCGGTTCGAGTTGAGTGTTTCTTACCTTGTTTTTTTCTGATTTTGTTTGTTTAATCTGTTTTCGCTTTTTTCCTATATTTCCCCGTTTGTTTGTTCTTTCATTGTGTATTCAAGTGTTTTTCCCTTGTTTTTCTTAGATGTTTGTGTGTCTGTTCTGCTTTTATTATGAAATGTGTGTGAAAAGAAAAAGTGAGCTGATGGATGGCGTCGGCGGTGTTTGGGTCTTGTTTCTTTCTTTTTTTCTTCATTTTCATTCTTCATGTGCGAGTATACCCCGGGATGGAGTTACTTCTTTTTTTTTTTTTTTTTTCCTTCGTTTCTTCTTAACGAGTTTACGAGCCATGATGAAAAGCCTCGGTGTTGACTGAGAGTAAGGTGGATGAGATGGCTGATTTCTTTTCTTTCAAACTAACGGGATAAGATGAGATACGATAAATTGATGGGGGACGAAAAACAGAATCGAAATGTATGATAGCTATCTCAGATAATGTGTCACCGACTTTACTTACTTACTTGAGTGACAAGTTAATGCAATTCATTGAATTGAGAAATTAGTGCGTTTGCATTACTTACCTGGTCGGATGTACGAGGTTCCGGTACTCTGTCTTCATCTCTTCTGCATTTGCATTTCATATGGGAACTGATTCAGTTCGATTCAATGAAGGCAGCAGCAACACGCGGATAGTAGCTAGCTCGCTAAGTACACCTACAAACCTAACCACTATCAGGCCACGGTAAGATAGACAGAATAAGAAGCCATATAAATCAACCACACACCTCAATCAATGAAATGCGTAAAGGATATCAATTCAACAACATCTGCCTAAGACCACTAACTACTACATCATGCCTAAAAAATGGTACAAAATCACCGGTAGAATGACGCGGGGTTAGATACGTCCGTTTGAGACGGGTTATACGCCTGGTATCCTCCTCCGGCGTTCAGAGCAGGATAGGGCGTTGGCGTTGTGGATGTACCTGGGACAGGCGGCGGCTGGTGCATAGGCGGCGGTTGGTGTGAAGGGTAAGGAGGCTGTGCTTGGTGGGCAGGAGGGGGTCTGGAGGCATCTTCAGGAGCGTAGCCTGAAGCAGGGTACTCCGGGTGCGGTTGTTGTTGCTGCTGCGGCTGCGGCTGCTGCTGTTGCTGTTGCTGTTGGAAATGCTGCTGCACTGCGGCGGGGACCTGCACGGCGCCGGGGTATGGTGGTCTCTGGCTGGCGGGATGCTCGACGGGGGAATCGTAGACGGATGTGCCGAGTTCTTGGGGGTTCTCGTATGTGGATTCCGGACGGTGGTACACGGGCTGGTAGGACTCCGAGGAGGGCTGGCGCTGCTGCGGCGGCGGCTGCTGTGGCTGCTGATACGGGGCGCCAGCAGGTGGTGTCTGACGGGGATCGGGCGATTGTGAAGGGGGAGGATATGCGTGTGCTTGGTCTGCGCCGTAGAATGCTGGCGCGTTGACCGGAGGCGCTTGTGATTCTGCTAGATGTTAGACAAGCTGTGAGTGTGAGGGTGTCCATGCGGTACTCACCTTGAGGACGGGGACTGAAGTAGCGTTGAGGATCAGCCTGTGGCGGATCTTGAGGATATCCCACAGGGGCGGCACCAGGATAGCCGTAAGGAGGTTGAGCCGGTCGGCCATATTGGGGTTGTGCGGGGTGCGCCATGGACGCCTCCAGCAGAGACTCGTAATCCCTTCGCGCCTTAATAAACTTTTCATTGAGCTGTGTGAACTCGTCTGCAGAGTATTAGCGGAGAGGAAGGATAGAAAAAGAGTTAGAGTGTCGGAAGCTTACCCTTCTTCTGCGAGTACTTCCCAATGAGCTCAATCAGCTTGGGGCGAATGGCCAATGTGGAGTGGTACAATGCCGTGATTTCTTCATTGTCCTGCACATTCAGCTCGGAGCTGCGAGTGCTCAGAAGGGTCAACAACTTCTCAACGTTCTTGATCTGACCAAACACATCGGCTTCCATTTGAGCTTCCCGCTGCAACTCCTCCACCGTCGGGTCAGGGAGTTTCTCGACGTAGTTGAGAGGAAAGATGCCGGTCTGGCCTCTCAAGGAACCCTTCCACCAATCCTTGTAGACAGACTCGAGGACAGCGATGACATCTCCCTTGCGGAATTGCAGTTCACCGGGTTCTGAAGGCTGAAAGTCGAACAAGGCTCTAACGCGCGAAACTGTGGCGGCAGAAGTACCCGAGGGGACGGCCTGGGACGTGGCAGCAGGTGTCTGGTTCTGGTTGACTGGAGCAGCACTGGAGCTGGCTTCGGGCTGTGGAGCAGGGGCAAT